AGCCGGCTAGGGATATCCAAGAAAGCTTATCAGTGAAAATCTTATTTTGGCAAATTACCACGCCGAAAGCGGACAGCATTAAAACCTTTTACATACTACATATGAAATGGCACATATTGCATCGCGCATTTTGCAATAATCTCTTTATCTCGTCCCTGCGCCTCACTTTTAATCTCTCCCACTCCCCCAATCCTCTCCCCTCTTCCACCCCGACGCCCTACAGGAGTCTTAGTTTTTTGCCACTACACATAACCGGTCTTTTTTTCTTTGTCTTTTTCTTGCTGATAGCCAATATTAGCCCCCGTTACCTTTTTTTCTCTTTTTTCTATTTTTTTTTCTTTGTATTCTGCTGCACCGTTTTTTTTTTTCTTAATTTTCTTGCACTTTTATTTTTTTATTTATCGTCTTCTTCTTTTCTTTGATTTATTTTTTCTTTGCTGTGCCATCTCTCACTCTTGTCCTCCTCGTGCCAGTTATCGCTCTCGTTCTTAGCCCCTTATTCCTCACTTTCCTGTTCCTTTCGCTCCTGAGAAGGTCCGCCTTCATTATGGCCCATGTGATGATGGCCCCACTTTGACGTGGGCGGGGGGAGGAGAGGGCGGTGGGGGCGAGGGGCGCGCTTTGCTGGCGCGCTATCAAAATGGAATCAAAAATGGCATCTACGACTGCTTACTGTGTGCATCATTTAGAATACAATAAAACTAAGATACGGGATGTCACGGCACCAATATAGAACTCTTTGTATCAAAACTACTGGAACTACTCGGAAAAACATACGTGAGCCTTCTTTGCGAATTTTGTGTTCGATCAATCATCCTAAGTAGCCATCTACGCTAATGCCGGCTCAGTCATCTATCTGCAGCCCTCTTGCGGGACGAGCAAGTGTCGTGCTCCATTATAAGTGCAAATCGTGAAAATATAGAAGAGCTTAGCATGAGCTAGTAACCTACCTCGATGGACGAGCGCGTCTCTGCAACTTCATCTTACAAGCAGGACCTCTCCTACTACCTCGGGTATCTCGCAGAAGAAGCTAGAAAAGCGCGCAGAGAAACAACCATTAACCCAATGTAGCTCATTCTACAGCTCTCAGCATCACACGCGGACTAGTTCACTCGCAACTACCTTTCCACTTCATCATAAACTGGTACCGATCAATCAACGGAACATCTTCATCAAGCGTCTCAAAGGATGATTCAATATCACCAGCGGGGCAGACACTCGATCTTGTCATAGATGGGGGTTTTCCACGGACTCGTGACTGTGAGTATAGTACCAATAATAGACACTACACTGCCAAGTCCTTTCGATGACACCGTTATCCTTGAAGACTCATGGAGCAAGTAAATAACTATTACAGTTAAATTATGCCAACTAGACTACACTCTAAGCATTATGTGGACGGGTTGTTGCTCTATTTTGAAGTACTACCAGAAGAGATCCAAAGAGATAGCAGAGGGAGATAGAGTGTGGTAAGTGCAGAGGTGATGGAGGAGGGAATGGATACTGTGAGGGTGGACATGATACTGTAGTGGAGTGAGACCCCTGCAGGTTAACAATTAAGATAGTTTGTAACGTAAGAAGGGAACTACTATCATAATGGAAGTTCGAGGAAAAAAAGAAAGATTAGACATTTTATTTAATAGTTTATTGATTTAATTAATAGCTGTCCGGAGCGCAGAAAGTAGCAATGCACAGGGTTTAACTCCAACACTCTGCATGGAAACTCCCAGCATTGTCACAGTGTTGCAGGAAGCTAGCCAGCCCAGAAGGCCTTAACTTAATGGGGCCGTGATTCTCGATGAGATCTTGACTAGTAGTGCAGGCTAGGAAAGAGGTATAGGTATAAGAAACCATGAACATACGCACCTTCTCACACATATATATCATTCATATATTTTATCAAGAATACTAGTATCTATTAAAGTCTCTATAATTGTGCCGGACACATTTAAAAAATATCAAATCTACGCTCTTTTCAATAATGGCATCAAGGAGCGTTGCTTACAACAACTATATGTGCGATGCAAAAACAGTCGTTCGTCGGTGGATACATATATATTTTTTTTAAATGAACATATGGTGATTTATAAATTCCTATCCTTCATTCTGTATTCTCTTCACTCGTGATTGTCCTTAACACCAAATTTGGCCCTTATGAAGATTTGCTTGACAGGCGGACGCGATAAGGGCTAAGATCTCCCTCTTCTCTTCTGCGGAAGCCGTCGACCGGCGACACATCGAATCACGCCCCGATGCCTGTGCATTTGTCTTAGTTCAGAAGGGGACGCGCCAATAAAATCCATTCGTGTTGAAAAGAGAAGAGCGAGGAACGAAGTCCAGTAGCGGGTATGTGTGTGTAGGGTACCAAGATAGAGGCAGACCATCCCCTCTAGCACCCTAGCCTTGTTCGAGCGAGCAAAGGGAGTGTTACGTCTCCGCACGAAGTAAATGTTATTATAGGCTCTGCTCAGGTACTGGGCGTGAGGGAGCGAAGGGGCGGGAACGTCATCAAAGCGAGACGGCCTTCTTTTTCGAACCTCAGAATTGACGGTAGATCGACGAACTTCCGAGGGGGGGAATTCTTGAATCCGGACTGGTAGGTAAGTAAACATCGAATGTTGGGGTTTTCTCCGACAGAGACCCCGTCGCAGCCTCGCCTCCCCCCCTCAGCCTGCGCCACCCCTCCGCCCGAGTCGTAATAAAGCACAAAATAGGGAAACCTCGATGGCACCCAGTTTATACCGAACCAGCACGTCCCTCCCCGTCGATTTCGCCTCTAACCCGCTTCTTCTTTCCCTGCATTTTCCCGGCGCGCCTCTTGATCCCTCCTTCCCCCCCCTCACGTTCTCCCCCATTCCCGCTCCCTCCTTGCACCAGGGCATTCGTTACTCCTCCCCCCGCTCTCTTAAGCCCCCATCCCCTTTTTGAAAAAACACCCCACTATGATGAGAGTTGCACGCACAAGAGACTTTTCGCTTATACCTATTATAAACGTCTACACTCTTTCATTAGATATGATACCCGACCCCCCTACGGGCGGCAGCAGAGCTGTCTTAGTAGACTCCTCCGCGGGTAACCCCCTGCTTGAGGAAAAAACGGAAGAACTCCTCAAATGGTACAGCGGCATACCCCAACGCCCACAGTGAACCCACTAAAAGCGTGATGACGTCCTTTATGAGCCAAGATACAAAAAGCATTTACGATCGCGCGGAAATCATAACTGCCCCTGGCAAACAGATAAAAAACATCATAAAATACACACCACAAAACTTCAGGGGGGGTTATCCAAGAAAGCCGAACGTTGCTAATCACACCTTTTGGACTCCCCGCCCAGCGGGCCCTACAGAGGCTATCAAAGAATAATCTTCCCCAAAATCCGCTCCACGCGGTCCGTCAAGTCTCCGACATAGAGCTTTCACCTCCGTCCCAATACACTCATAAATAACAACATTTAACTCACTTGCACAGAAGAGAGATCCTATTTACCCACGCCCCCTCGTCCTGTGTTCATTGTACTACGCCTACGCAAGGCCCAACTTGAACATTGTTGGCAGGAAAAAGACCTTTAGTCCCCTATTCCCATATTACGATCCAATTAACCCATTAACGTGAGGCAGCACCCAACAAAAGTAGTGCTTAATACCCAGAAATTCAATATGAAAAAAAAAAAGTGCGGAGCCGTGCGATCATTAATCCTCAGTCTATTGTGAAATCCATCTGCTTCTCTTACGGCCATGTATCAAATCAAAAGCCAAAAGCACGGACAGGCATACATCGTTGTGCAGTGCGCCTCCGGTAATAAGGTGGCCAACATTTTCGTACTTTTAGCAAGCAAGTGGAGGGAAGGTCAGGCAAACCAACCTATAGCTGGAGTGTGCAGTGAAATTGGGCAATAGGCCTAAACTTTTCGTACTTTTAGATATATATAGCAGGCAAGTGGAGGGAAGGACAGGCCAACCAACCATCCTGAATACCTTGACTATAGCTGGAGTGTGCAGTGAAATAATCCTCAGGAATGACTTTGGAAAATAGGGTGGCCTAAACTTTTCGTACTTTTAGCAGACAAGTGGAGGGAAGGACAGGCCAACCAACCATCCTGAATACCTCGACTATAGCTGAGGTGTGCAGTGAAATAATCCTCAGGAGTGACTGTGGAAAATAGGGTGGCCTAAACTTTTCGCACTTTTAGCAAGCAAGTGGAGGGAAGGACAGGCCAACCAACCATCCTGAATACCTCGACTATAGCTGAAGAGTGCAGTGCAATCCAGAAAATAGGGTGGCCTAAATTGTTCGTACTTTTAGCAAGCAAGTGGAGAGAAGGACAGGCCAACCAACCATCCTGAATACCCTTGGAGTGTGCAGTGCAAATAATCCTCAGGAGTGTGCAGTGAAAGAATAGGGTGGCCTAAACTTTTCGTACTTTTAGCAAGCAAGTGGGGGGAAGGATAGGCCAACCAAACCATCCTGAATACATACCTTGACTATAGCTGGAGTGTGCAGTGAAAGAATAGGGTGGCCAAAAGTGTTCGTACTTTTAGCAAGCAAGTGGGGGGAAGGACAGGCCAACCAACCATCCTGAATACCTCGACTATAGCTGGAGTGTGCAGTGCCAATATTCCTTAGAGGCTTTCTTGCAAACATGCAGTTGTAGTTTATGTGTAAAACAGTGTCTTATACTCCTGCCACATACATACACACTTGTAGTTATAGTTTCTCTGTTTAAAAACCCTTTTCACGCCACTAATATACAAGCAGAAACCATGTACAAAGTAGTATTAAAACCTCCATATACAATCTTGCTGCTTATGGAGACAATGGACACATTGGTTGAGTGTTAAGTTTTGACGGTATAATATTTATGCATGCAGAGTCTGGCACAGAAAGTGCAGAAGCCACATCTGAGAAACCTGTTCTTCCGTGTGTCGACGTTGTACCGTCTCGGAGCTAGTTTGGTGTTTGTTATCGACGGGGAAGCCACCCAGTTGAAGTGGGGTACGCTGGACAAGAGAGAGGGGAGGGGGGAGGAGGGGAGGAGGAGGACTGGTCGAAGGACTATACTCCAGTCTTATGTGAATGAGGTAATGTCTTATGTGCATGAGGTAATGTCTTATGTGGATGAGGTAATGTTTTATGTGAATGAGGTAATGTCTTATGTGAATGAGGTAATGTCTTATGTGAATGAGGTATATACTGTGTAAATGTGTACTGTACGTCTTATATACAGTAGAGCTGTACATCAATGGGACAGAAGAAAGTGTCCATAATATTAGTGAGGTATCCTTATTTCAGGGGTTGAATTGCATGCAAGAACTGTTCTTGGGGAAAGAAAAGATGTCCTTATTAGAGAGATGTCCTCATTTCAGGGGTTGAATTGCATACAAGAACTGTTCTTGGGGAAAGAAAAGGTGTCCTTATTTCAGGGATGGTTTAAAGTTGTGTCCTCATTTCATAAAGCCTGTTTTTCTACGCTACACTTAAGCTTTCCATAATCTGAGAGATTAGGAAAGTCTCCCTCCAACCGAACACGTTTGGTGGGTACACTTTTGCGTAGTTGGGTCACAGCTGACTGTACCATATTCTGTGGTGTTCCATGCAGTGCTGTAATCTGCTGGACAGTCTTGGAGTCCCATACATTAGGAGTAAAGGAGAGGCTGAGGCCCTCTGCTCCATTCTCAACTACACCGGCGTGAGTCGTATACATTACTAACTTTCTCTTTCACTTTTTCCTTTCCATACTATTACTACCTCTCTCTATTTCATTTGTTATTGCTGAGTGAAACAAACCTACCTATGTTTGTACCTATATAGTCGTATATCTAACGTTGCCATACCTACATTAATGCCACATAAGTGAACTGTATATTATTTACAGAAATTTTGCAATTGCCATGTTAGTTAGTTATATAATGGGCGTCAATGATCAAGTGTAACTTGCCAGCACTTACAGACTTACATGTGAACAGGAAAAGACTTGGGTTCCAAGGCTACGGTTCTCTCTCTCTCTCTCTCTCTCTCTCTCTCTCTCTCTCTCTCTCTCTCTCTCTCTCTCTCTGTTCAGATGGCGGATGGTGTTCTAACCAATGACAGTGATTCATTTCTCTATGGTGCTACTACTGTCTACAGAGACCTCCATACAACAGAGAGGGTGGGTTATTGACCTAGTTCATATCTGTGTGGGGACACTTCCTGTCTTGCATCTTTCACCCTATCTCGCTCCAAACTTTCGTCTTTCCCCCTATTTCGCTCCAAACTTTCGTCTTTCCCCCTATCTCGCTCCAAACTGTTGTCTTTCTCCCTATCTCGCTCCAAACTTTCGTCTTTCCCCCTATCTCGCTCCAAACTGTCGTCTTTCCCCTATCTCGCTCCAAACTGTCGTCTTTCCCCCTATCTCGCTCCAAACTGTCGTCTTTCCCCCTATCTCGCTCCAAACTGTCGTCTTTCCCCCTATCTCGCTCCAAACTTTCATCTTTCCCCCTATCTCGCTCCAAACTGTCATCTTTCCCCCTATCTCGCTCCAAACTGTCGTCTTTCCCCCTATCTCGCTCCAAACTGTCGTCTTTCCCCCTATCTCCCATCTTCCCCACCGCATGTGAACGGTATCTATAGTATGTATGTACATGTATATTCACATGTCATTTCTCTATAGAGTCCTACTGTGGAGTGCTACACTATGAAGGACATACATGAAAAATTGGGTAAGCATACCGCTACCATACATTTGCTCCATATATACTGCATACAAGGTTGCATCTATTACCGTGTTGACGTAATCGTTTGGTTGACTAGATTTGCATTTTCGTCTTCGTACAGCATCGATGACAAAATGTTTGCCCTAATAGAATATTTTCGTCTGCAGCTTTGAATCGATCAGACCTAATTGCACTGGCCCTTCTGCTTGGGTGTGACTACTGCCCTCAAGGTATGCTGATACACAACACATACACTGTCACTGGAACGTGTAGCTATTCACTCGTTGCGTACACGTGTGTGTATATATATACAGTGGAACTCCTCTAATCTACGTAGATATTATATCAATGGGACAGATGAAAGTTTCCATATTAGCGAGGTTTACTTATTTCAGGGGTTACTAGAACTGTTTGTGGGGAAGGAAAAGGTGTCTTTATTAGAGGTGTCCTGACATCAATGGGACAGATTAAAGTTTCCATTGAAGTTTCCATTATTAGCGAGGTTTACTTATTTCAGGGGTTACTAGAACTGTTTGTAGGGAAAGAAAAGATGTCTTCAATAGAGGTGTCGCCGTTTCAGTTCAGTTAGTTGGGGTTCCACTGTAATCTACACTGTTCATACATATTGTGTGTGTGTGTGTGTGTGTGACATCAGGTGTTGTGGGAGTGGGTAAAGAGACGGCTCTCCAGTTCCTGAGGGCCTCCAAGTCAGGTTCCCAGTCCACCTCCGATGTCCTGGACCAGTTCCAGGAATGGAGGAACGGCTCCATCACAGAAGGTTTGTACTGTACCTATCACTAAGTGCGGTAGTACTTAGTATATAGGGATGACACAGGTCATCCTGCATTATGCACATTCATAGTTCATAATGCACAGGTGGACATTGAAAGTCCTTCATGTATTGGTATGGGGCATAAACAAGTTATTCATATATAGACTTATGTGGTTTTACTTTCAGATGACATTGAGAGCAAAATTCAGTTGACAGTGTTCAGGTATACTACTATATTATGACCAATGATGTTAGTAATGTGGAGTGATGTCGTTTTTCTCCCTATGCACACTATGACATGTATATGTGTGCAGGAAAGCGATGAGTTCTCCCAACTTTCCACAGAAAGAGGTATTATTATATATATTATACAGCTACACCACTGCTTTCACAATCCTACAAACTAAATAAGTTAGGCATCTCGACCGAAATATATGAGGCATCTTGCATGTAACTGTATACAGTAGTACCTCGACTATTCTCTTCTGCACATCTTGAAGGGCAAAGAACTTAGGCATCTTGCGTTAGAAGCCCTCGGGCCCTTCATGTAGCATCCTCGCTGCGCTTGGAACGCTACAACGCAAGGGCCTTTGGGCTTCTAACGTGCATAGTTTTAACTGACTCAATTCATAATAAATTTTTTCACTCCCTTTAGCAATGAATTATGTGGGTTAGAATACCGTATCTACAGTGCGTACGTATGTTGCTACGTATGATGTTTGTTTTTCAGGTGATAAGAGAGTTTCTGCGGCCACCGGATCTCTCCTCATCATCGTCTCCTTCGTCACTGGCTGGTGATGACACCAGACTCAGACACTGGAGGCAACCACTGCTTCACTCCACACAAGTAGGCCACATAGCCAAGCTGGGAATACAGTGGAACCTTTCTATTACTACATAGTCTATCAATAAGTCATGATCAGACACTGGAGACAACCACTGCTGCACTCCACACAAGTAGGCCACATAGCCCAGCTGGGAATACAGTGGAACCTTTCTATTACTACGTAGTCTATCAATAAGTCATGATCAGAGCTGGAGACAACCACTGCTGCACTCCACACAAGTAGGCCACATAGCCAAGCTGGGAATACAGTGGAACCTTTCTAAAGGCTCATTACTACGTATATAGTCTATCAATAAGTCATGATCTGAGCTAATCGTGAACTTAGTCGTAGTATATATTAGCAATACTACTGACGTTTCTAAAGCCCCATATACACAGAGACTTTGAACGTGTTAACAAACGGATATCCAAACAAGCGGTTCAGCGAGCGGGTGCAGAGACGAACTGCCATTATAACACCACCACAACATCCACTCAGTAGTACAGCGGTTTTATCACGCTTACCAGGAGTTTATGGAAGTGAGTAGATACAAACCAGCCACGAAAGAGTGCGATCACAATATTATGTCGCATTGCCCAGTCGCACCGTGCCGCGTTGCCGCACCGCGAGGATAGAATCCATTTCTGCATTCACTCTCTGTGTCAGGTGATGTGCCATCACCACCTCCAATGGCCGCTGGAGTACACTGCTAAGAAGATGGTTCCCCTCATGTCTCAATGGGCCATCAGAAATTCTATCAGAGGAGGGAGGAGGGGGAAGAGGAGATGAACAATCTGCCATCTCTCCTTACAGGTAACCTTCACTTTTCCTTCACCCCTACCCCCTCTATATAAGGGTGTCAACAGTTTCGCATTTTTTGCAGGCACATTAGTTGAAGAAAATATCAACAAACTGTCTTTAATACTTTAGCTCTAGATGGAGTATGGAATAGTAGCACACTCTATCTCGCTGTCCCTTCACTTTTCCTTCACCCCTACCCCCTCTCTATAAGGGTGTCAACAGTTTCGCATTTTTTGCAGGCACATTAGTTGAAGAAAATATCAACAAACTGTCTTTAATACTTTAGCTCTAGATGGAGTATGGAATAGTAGCACACTCTATCTCGCTGTCCCTTCACTTTTCCTTCACCCCTACCCCCTCTATATAAGGGTTCAACAGTTTCGCATTTTTTTGCAGGCACATTAGTTGAAGAAAATATAACAAACTATCTTTAATACTTTAGCTCTAAAGGGAGTATGGAATAGCAACACACTATCTCGCTGTCCCTTCACTGTGCCTTCACCCATAGCTATAAGGGTTTGAAGAGTTTTGCAGGCACATGAGTGAAGAAAATAGCACCAAACTATTCATAATGATTTGGCTAGAAATGGAGTATGGAATAGTAACATACTCTAGTGTCGCTGTTCCTATCCATTTCTCCACTTCTTATAACCACAAAAGCCTGAAGCGAGCGTGAAATGTGTTGCATTCTATATAGTATTTTTACCATGTACAATTCAACTAAGTACCTCTAACCTAGCTATTTATTATATTGACTCTAGGATACTGAAAGCTGTAAGTTGAATGGAGAGAAATGCTACCGCGTTCAGTGGCAGTTTACTCGTCCAGTGGCCTGGAGACTAAAGTAGATACTGATGGTACGTTGCACAATACAGTGGAACTACTCCAATCTGGACACCAATGTGACAGCGGACAAGTGTCCATAATTATTATGTAATTTGCTCCTTTTGTTGAGGTGTCCTTATTAAATGCTTCCTCCATTCAGATGATCATGACGATGATGAAGGAGGAGTGCTGATTACAGTGGAGCGTCAGGAGGTATTATGATTATGATATACACAGAGACAGAATTCTCCGCCATAGCCATAGTAGAGACAGAGCTTGTGAAGTAACTCGGGCATTGCGTACGTACCACGTCCTAGCCTATAATAGCCAGCTGAGAGCAGAAACAACGTGCAAAAAGCCAACAAGAATACTGGTGTAGCTAATCTTGGCAACCTCTCAATTTCACCCTCCATCCTTCCCATACCTACCAACCTGCAGATGAACCTTAATTGCTTGAGAAATGTGTCAAATTTGCTTGATTTGGAGTATTTTTGCTTGAAAAAACTGTGTCCATTCAAAATGTACAGGCATAGTGCATCACAGGATATACAGTAAGCACAAAAAGGAGAGATTTGGCAATTTTTGGCGGGATAGGCAGTATTTTTGCTTGATTATCAAGCAAAAAGCTGGATGGTTGGTACGTAGGTATGTATACCTTCACCCACACCTCCAGGAAATGGAGAGGGCATTCCCAGCAGTGTGCACTGTCTTCAGAGAGCAGCAGACGACAGAGGCTCAGTTGAAAGAACAGGCAAAGACTCTCACCAAGAAACACAGACACCAACAAAAAGGTGGGTTTTAAATTCCTTTCTAATGACGACACTAAAGGGACAGATGAGGTGTTCCTATCAGTGAGGTGTCAGAACCGTTCTTAGGGAAGAAAGGTGTCATTATTAGAGAGGTGTCTCATTTCAGCAGTGTCCTATAGAGAGGGTTTTTGAGGGAGAAAGTTCCTCAATTTGTACAAGTTTTGCCACAAAATTACCCCCAGATAATTAATAAAACTTTGTGGAATATTAGTTAGTGTAGTATAAGGGAACCCTTGTCCTCCAGTGGTGAAGAAGACAAAGGTAGACGACGCGGCATAAGGAAATCTCCTCAGACATCTCCGTCCTCGACCCTTCCTCAAATCCTGCAAGATATGGTCCTCCAGTCACCTCACAAGGACACACTTCCCTCCTCCTCCTCCTCCTCCTCTGATTCTTCTCTGGAAGACACCAAACCACAGACGACACACTTATTACCAGGTAAAAAGCAAGGCAAGTGCCCATCAACAGGACAAAGGACACACCTTTCAAAAAGAGCTAGCCTGGGCATGACTCGAACCCACAACACTTTGTTCTCTAGGCAAGTGCTCTACCAGCTGAGCTATATTATACCAGGGAAACTTTCCTTCTGAGGCCTTCTCAAAAGCAGCAATACAATACAACGCAATGGCATGCGCAACGTTTGTATTATATACACATGTGTTAGGAAAGGCTTGGAACAAATGTCTGGGCATGGTCAGCAACACATACCAGCGGCAAAGCCTTGTGGGGATTAATCTCATTAGTTCAGAACCACAAGCGCTGCGCAGTACAATTTTCTTGTTTGTCTGACAATTATTGTTTTTTGTACGTTGTTTTCCAGGCGTGGACGACGGCGGTGAAAGTGAAGAATCGCCAATTCCGTGTCTGAGTCAGCGACTGGCGCAGAGAAGAAGAAAAACAAACACCATTAACACCCCTCTAATCTCTCTGGAAAAACAGACACTCGTTCAGAGCAGTCTGCTGACCACCGCAAGAGTTGTGCGATTCAGCAACGCCAGGACTCATCCAAAACACAGAGACAACCCATCCGCCTATTCACCTTCTAAAAACTCTGATTTAATGGAGTCGCACAGTAACTTTAGAAACGTCTCTGAAACATTGTCGTTCCACAAACCCTAAAGAAGAAAATGAGGCACTTTCCCACGCTCAGTTGCCCAAGTCAAGAACTTTAGTACATTCCAGCGAAAACCCTGAAAACGGTAGTTCTTTGACGCTGATTCCTAACCAAGAAGAAAAAGGAAAGAGAGAGGTATTCATCACCCCACCCTTCGTCCCCACTGAGCAAGAGAGTTGGTGGTCCAAACGGTGCGACAAAAGTTGTACATTCGCCAAAGAAACTAGCGTTGACGAGTGGTGGAAGCGAGAAAGACACGAGCTCTAGTAGTACACAGTGTATTGTACTCGGTGACTCTAATTCAGAGGAAGAAGAGGATGATGTTGAATACTACGATGTGCCACTTGTGGAGAGGTTAAAATGGTCGGTGGCTTCACGGGATGGGGGGAAGTCGACTGGCTGTAGACGTGTTACCAGCTCCGCTCAGGGAACAGCTCACGACCCAATTGTTTTATGAACGATGATAATTATAATATATTATAGTCTGACCGTTAGTATTATATACTGAAATCTCAGTCATTATTATTGTTTTATATTTATACCTGTGTGTTGTTTACAAGTGCCCACATGACCTGTTCTAAAGGATTTTCAAGTTATTAGGGCCGAAGATCTAGACGTGCGTCTATATCTATTATTATTATTACGTGGCGTTTTATAACCGTCATTATAATTATAATTATAGTGCCAGTGGCTGGTGTATATAGGGCCTGCAGGGACATAATTATATATCCTGTTTTGTTTACAGATGCTTTGATGGGCGTGCATTATTTGGATTCACATCTGGCTATATAAAGGAGCAAAAACAGACAAAGCAGGAAGAGACAAGAATTTCCATCCTTTATTCATTAAGCGACGCACACACCTCTTTGACCACACAGCACCAGTTGAGAGAGACAGCATTATGATAATATTATATATAATTGTTCAGCAGACTGTAAGAGCTTGTGTGTGAAAAATGAAAGCAAAGTGGTAAAATAATGATCCAGCATAGCATGTTTGGCTAGTGTTCAGTAGCGGTACTTGGTCGAATAGTCCTTGGGCGAAACAACCAGACCCCTACCTTTACTGGCTCCACGATACACAGTCTCAACGACATCTATCATCTCCTGGGCACTGTCTATGGCCCAGTTGATCTTGTTGTTGTTCCCCGTGCCCAGATCGATCATGATGTGCTTGTTCCTGTAGAAAAACATTGCTGTGCACGGATCGTAAAGCTCGTACATTTTGTTAAAGTCAGGAACCTCCGATATATCGACGAGATACGTCACGGCGTAGTTTTTCACTTTCTCAGAGACCTTGTGTAGAATTTCGTCCATTCGCATGCAGGTGGGGTCCCAATCGTGGCCGAAACGAATGACGACTACTCGCTCTTCTTCCCCGAGGATGGCCTGGTCTACTTGCCAGCCGTTGTGGAGGTGAGGTAGCATGTAGGACATGGCGACGAGCAGTGGTAAGAACTGGAGAGGCAGACACACACACACACGCAACACACACACACAGATAGAGAGTAACTGAGGACGCAGAGCAGTAAACTACAGGTGTAGAGGGACTCAATGGCAACCCTCTTGTCCAAGAGAAACACGCATACATTTATTGTCTTTACGTACGAGGACGGGCTATAGAGAGAGAGAGAGCCATAGGCCACGGACAAACTTGAGGGGGCTAGATAGTTTTACAACGCAAAACCTCTACTTATAGGAAGGTTGCCTAAGTCGTCAGCTAGTTGGTAAGACTAACAGAAACATGCACGCTCGCTTTTACCTCTGTCTCTGAGGGAACGGCCGGGCGAAGGAGAGGAGACCTACGTAAACAACACGCTCAGTCGAGTCAAGTGTGACACCACGCCCAGGTGAGACCACGCCCACATTAAAAATTAAAAGGGTGGAGCTGACTGCGAGAGCTCACCAACGGTTCACAATCACAAGCCGCACCACCACCTCGGCTGTGCACGGTACGGATGTAAGCCGGAAGCCAAGTGCCAGAGGTCTCTAGCTGCTCGGTGAGTTTCTCAGTCGTTTCCACATCTACTTGCAGGCAGTGGTCGCTTGCGTCGCAGCGTGCGGGTGGACGGCGTCTGACGGCGCCGGCCGGTCGCCGGAGGCGTAAGGTTTGGCGCTAGGCCGTGCTGCTGCGGAAAAAGGAGCTAGCTAGTTCAGTACCATAAAGAGTTGATTCGTAATCCGTGTGAAGTCCTAGGAATTGAGTGTCATTTTTCAAGGCTTTCTTGACACCACTGATGTTTTAGCTAAGTAGTTGTTGACACGTGACAAAGGGGAAATAGCTATGCTCCCTGACACAAATGTCTGGCGTACTCAAGGTCCAGTTCTTCTTGCCTAAGTTCCTTGCAGCATGCACTGTACTGGGTGTGTACTGTGCCATGGCACAGTGGCCTGAGGTATGCCTTTGTCTTGTGTTGGAAGATTTGAGTGACCATACAGTGTACATGTACATACTGAGTGGAGTATACTGTGCCACAGCACAGTGGTTTGAGGTTTGTCTTTGTGTTTGTTGTAGATTCGAACCCCTACCAGCTGAGTTGCCCTGGTAGCTCAGTTGGTAGAGCGCTCACCTAGACTGCAGAGTGTCATGGGTTCGAATCCCACACAGGGCAGCTCTTCTTCTTTTCTTCGAAAAGAAAGAGCTGTCCTGGGTGAAGTTGACTTGTTTGCCTTGCCTTGCCTTCCTACCTCGCTACCAAGTTGTTGAGACATGCATATACTCGGTTTGGAGTTTAGGGCGTCATTGGTGGTTCAATTACCCTGGTCTGCTCCTATATACCGAGTGAAAGTGTACTGTGCCATAGCACAGTGGCCTTTGTGTTGTGTTGTTGATTTGAACCCCTACCAGCTGAGTTGCCCTGGTAGCTCAGTTGGTAGAGTGCTCGCCTAGACTGCCAGTGTCATCACATGAGTAGGTTTTGCTAAAAATATTTGGCACATTGGTTTGGCGAACCTTTGTGGCATTCGAAGTATTTACTAATAGTTATCCCTGAAAGGCTTCAATAAACTCCCTTTGCCTGACTATTGTATACACTACAGATGTTTGTACTGTGAGTCAGTGACCACTAGTGTCATCAACTTCGTCTTTGCGCAGCGAGGTTACTGTAGTTGTTGTGTGTGTCTGTCTGTCAGTCCGCGAGCATCTCACTTCACCAGCCATTAATCGTTCCACAAACGATACCACGTATTCAGCTTCGAATAAAGGTCGAAACTTATGTAGGGTTTTCTCTGAAACTGCTGCGTTCGGGAGTTACGGCGTGAAACACAAGCCAATATGCTAATAGAACAGGCTTACCTCGAGCGGGTCCGCTTGCTCTGTGTATCTTGAAGGCACAAGAAGTCACAACAAAGGGCGTGTATCGACTCTCGCATACTATCTACTGCTGTAACTTGCCCGTGTCAGACTCTCTGCGAGCTACTAGTGGGAGACCACGAGTAAACACATACTCATAGCCCAGCCCATCAATTAGCGGTACCACATATGCGCAGTTCGCCGAGGGTTTGCACTGTAGTGCTTTTTCATTTGTATTATTATTCATTTGAGCTTATACCCTTCTACCCTGCAGTTATAGATCTACTGATGAACTAGAACACTATACGAACAAAAATGGCTACAAACGGTTCGTTTCGGAAAAAGTGCATGGCAGTTGTGTTGGCACTTCTCCTAATGCAAGGTGCTATCTTTTTCTTTATCCGTCCGACCATCTTATTCAACAACAGATTCACCAGAAACCAAGTTAATGCACTCCTTGGATCAGCATCTCCCAGTCCAGGGAGACCTGTACTAGACAAGGGACCACCGGTGTCTATTAGCAAACTCTCAAATTATCCACATAACCATACACCCTCTACCTATGTGTCTATTAAACTCTCAAATCACCACACACCCTCTACCGATCTTGAAACCGTCTCTGGCTCTCTTACTACTAAACAACCACCAACTAGCGCTCCCAGTACAAACTACACTCTACAACCGCCTGATGTAAGGTCGTATTCAAACTGGAAGAAAGGCACGTTCTGCGAAGAATACATCGGTAAAACTTTTACCAAGGAGCTCCCCGTGTGTTCAACCGCCAACAACCAAAGTTCCCTGACATGTGTAGGGAGTTCTGTGAGTACTAACATGGCTCGCTGCACCGCACGTTTCCTAGCCGTCGAACCGGAAAAGCTCCGTCCCGTGGTGACAGACTGCGACACGTGCAACATCTTGAACTCCGGGTCTTTCCATCTCGTTCAAAACAATCACTCGTCGTGCCCAGAGCCCAGTCTCAGAGCTCTCCAATCAAACTCCGAGGCAAACGACCCGTTACACAGGAGCATTATCGACATCACTTCCAACCCCACGGTGCCGAGGGAGACCTGTCACACCTGGGTCAACAAAACTGCCTACTTTTTCTCCAGCCAACGCTACCACATATACTTCCGTCTCTACTCCTACTACAATCTTTACAAGACTCTGCTAGACCAGGGCTCCGTACCTGGGAACTACATAGTGGTCAGAATGTCTGAAGCGAGCAACTATAAGTTTGAGGATTTTGAGCGTTTGCTTTTCCCCGAGTTGAAAACGCTGAGCGAGTTGCCCGAAGGGAGGGTCTGTTTTCGTGAGGTGGTGTTTTCGCCGTGGGCCTACGCTGCCGTCATGTTTAGGTGTAAAATGGAACGAGACACAGTCTCGAAATGCTTAGGTTGCGAGGGAAGGGGGAAGCTCGGAACGTCGTTAATGACCTTCCGAACACGAGCCCTTCAAGCTTGCTCCCTGAAGGATCAAACCCGCGAGCATAGAGAAAGCCGAACTAACAAGAGCATCGTTTTCGTCAAGAGAAAACCGTACACGAGATGGAACGGAGACAAGCTCCACAATTTTCAGAGGGTCCTTAGTAACCAGGACGAGGTCGTGTCGAACCTGAAATCCCATTTCCCCAACGCTCAAGTCCGTGACGTCTTCATGGAAGATTTGGATTTGTGTGAGCAGATGCGTCTGGTGCACGAGTGCGACTTGTACATCGGAGTGCACGGGGCTGGGTTGGTGCACCTCTGGTGGCTGCACGACGACGCAGCAGTACTAGAACTTGCCCCCTCCAACTTCTCCACGAACCCCAGTTTCAAGACGCTCGCAAAGCTGACCGGCAGACGCTACCGTTTTCTTAGTATACCAGGCAACACATACAAGGTCACTGTCAATGTTCCAGCAATGATGGATGTGGTTAAGAGTTTACTTTATGGAAAGGTATGATGTTTAGGGTTTTTAATATCTTTCTCCGTGATTTACTTTATTGTTCTGAGGACCAATTAATTGTTTTCTGCATCTGGAGACGAAAATTTGATCAGTTGTCGCTTGCAGCAAGGAAACGTATTGGGCGTTAGCTACTTAGTACAGCACAGAGTAAGATCCACAGGATGTGTCAATTTTGAAACAGGAAATAGTGTGTGTGTGTGTGTGTGTGTGTAGATACACAGGTACTACTATCGTGGGTGTTGTGTAATAATATACCATATATAGTACTTAACCATTTGGACGCCATGGATATCTCCTTAAGCAGAAATTTATGTATAACATATTGACGCTTAGTATTATACCCATATATAAATTCTTATGGACTTATGGAGGCTATATACTCTGGGCGTACATGTATGCCCGTGGCTGGCTAAGGGTTAATAAAGTGTCCTATGCATTTGAGGTAATTAAAAGCTGGAAGCCATTAGCCCACATGTGGTTACGTGAAACACTGAAATTAGCGCGTAGAATTGGATGGAAAAGCTCACGAATACAGACCCTCCATTCGGGCAACTCGTTCAGCATTTTCAACCGCTCAAAAAACACTTATACTTGCTCGTTCAGAATCTTTTTTCCTCGTTTACTTTGGGAACACAAGTGATAAAAACAAAATGCGAAAGTGGGACCTGTCATCTTTCCCATGACGGAGATTATGACAAGCTGTCAAGGAAAGTGTAGTAAACAATGTGGATAACGAAACGGAGAAAAAACAACGCAGGCCTTGGGAAAATTGGAATTGCATGCAACCTATGAAGACTCCTAAAAGGACCCTCCAAATAAAGGACGCCTCCGTATAAGGGACACTTTGTAATAATGTCAGTGTATTGTACATAGTGAACAAAGGACACTCTCATTTCCCCACTGTCATTTCACTGTAGCTGCAGTACTAGAGTTTCGAATACACAAGATAGTTAAGCTATGATACAGTTTTCTAGCATCTTGTATCTGTAAGCACAGTTAGAGATTAGACAAGTGGACCGACAGAAAAGGAAAGTGTGAACTAAAAAAACACAGAATGTTGTGAAAGAACGTTTTGGTTTTCACACCTGAAAATCAACTAACGATAGAGAAAAACACACGCGCCTATAAAAAAACGAGCTCTCGCCTGGCTGCACCCGTCAGTCTTCCAGAACAGGAAAAGCACCACAGAATATTGGAGAATGAAGCTTCTTCTGACCATCTCCCTTGGCCTGCTGGCACTCAGTCTTCCAGCTCTCTGCTGGCCTCAATATGAAGTTCCACAGTACCAGTTTGAGGATCCAGAAACGCCCCAAAGAGACATCGACGTCGACGCTCTGATGCAGGATGAGGTTGACTATGGCTACCCACAGGAGGGTGCGAAAATTACTGTCATTCTCATACTCTCTCTCCCTCTCCATCTTCGTTTGTAGGATTAGCTACCTAATGTCCTTGCTGCAATAAAGTTGCCCTCTTTCCCCTATACTATTGCAGAGTTATAAATGCCCTTGTAGCAACACAAAATCTGTCTTGTCTTTTCAGATGGGCCTGCGAATGTTGTTGAGGAGGAACTAAGGAGAATGCAGCTAATTAATGCTAACCGTGCCGCGTGGAACGAGGATGCCATGGTTGAACAGAGAGGTAGGACTAGAATGTGTAATGTGTATTCTGCACCAATCAAATCATGTTAAATAATGGACTGGCTGAATAAGAGACCTTTTAAGGACACTTGACTCTACCCCATACACCAATACTTTGTGTCCATTACTACCTCGACTGAATAAGGGACTCCTTTGAGTAAAGAACAATAATGTCGATGCCCCGAAAGTGTCCCTTACTCAGAGATTTCACTTTAACTGCACCATTACTAATTGTAATATGCAAAAAGTGTTCATGGCTATTATTATTTTGCTGTCTGTGTTACATAGGGAGAGCATTAAGGAGTGGCTGTCGAATTTCACTGAAATCGCCCACGTGTAATCAATGGCTTGCCTGTCGCAACACCGAATGCTCCTCGAGCGCCGCTGACTGCCCGGCAGCTCGATTCCAAATAAAGAGAGCTCTGGGGAACGGTCGTATTCTTACGGGCGACTTTGTGTTTTTTATTACAACTATGGAGGTTCCTCGTTGTTTTCCATGACAAACGGAGTAGGGCAGAAATCAAACTGCCCCGTGGCGATTGGTGAGTGTACGTGGTACAAATGCAGCAACGAGGTCTTCCAGATTTATGCCAAGGGAAAGGGGATTGGAGAAGCCATCATGAACGAGGACATCGTAGCTCTGTACCACTCAAGTGTTTCGAGGAACGGCTTTGTCCAGTTTCTCAGTAATAGAGTCGGTCTATCGCAGTGTCCGTTGCAGATGTCTGGCTACGTTCGTCCACCTAGCGAGGCTGCATTCAACTATTGTGAGGGAGACAGTGCCGAGATAAAAATTTACGACTAGAAATGTGGAGTCGTCGCAAGTGAAACTGACTCAAAACGTTGATTTAGACGATGTAGTATTAATTTTGGTAGCTGTAGTCCATTACTCTTTGACGTACATGATTGATCAAATGTGTGCTGAATATTATAGTTTCTTACAAAATGAATTATCAGTGAACTGAGTGGTCAAGATGATTCAAAATTAATTTATGAGTTGTTGATGAGCACGGATATAGCGCGTAGGACTTGGATTAAAGCGTATGTTGCAAATACTTGCATTAGGTAGTGTTGTTTGCCTTGCCTTGGTATATAGCACGTCCAGACCAAGATGCCTACAGATGTGTGTTGCATAGTGGAAGGTGTGTGTTTGTATATATGAGAGCCAGCCAGCATGTTGCTCTATGGTGTGTTTATTTGTATATAGGAAAGTGAAAGATTTCCTTGTATACTTTGCGCTCAATGTAATCTATCCACCTTGTATATACAGTAAGCTGTTGTCGTGAAGTCATGTACAGTGCAAAAGAGCGGATGATGACTGAAATACTCAGAAGAGAGCCTCTGGGACAAAACACTACATATCTCTCCATTGCTGATTTGCGTGTATAGCAAACTAACTTGTAGATTGGAGTAGCTATGACTACAGTGGATCCTCTTCATTGAGGAAACAAGTAGGGCCATGTTTTATGTACAGAGGCATGAATTCATGGAGTCAGTCGTCAGATCACCAGATCACCATTACTGCCACAGTCCTGTGCAGTGAAAAGAGTACAGAATTTTCAACTGCACACATGTATATACACATTGAAATGTGTTGCCCTCCACCTCCTCCTTCACCACCATAAAATCCTCTGGCAATGTAAAGCAATGGTCTTCTTTTCGTTGTTAATTCGTCTGTTGGTCCCATTTTAATCTGCATGGTATAGCCATTTAATCTGCATGGTATAGCCACACTGTATATTCAGAGTGTCCTATAAAAGAGGTTCCTCTGTACTATAATGTGTATCTTTGTGCCACGTTATATATCATTAGTTATCAACAGGAATGCATGATGAAAGCCAATATGAAACTATAACACTATCTTCCGTGCTTTTGATACACAAGGAAACCATTTAACAAACACAGCAACAGGTGTTAAAGAAACATTAACACATGAATAGTAGACGAGTTGCAGTGTATATAAAGGAAGCCTCTCACTGAACCACCACTCTTCAAGCATCAGTTTCGAGAAGTACTATTGGAGAATGAAGCTTCTTCTGACCATCTCCCTTGGCCTGCTGGCACTGAGTCTTCCAGCTATCTGCTGGCCTCAAACTGATGACGACCTGCCACCGGAAAGCGAAATGCAACAAGACAATGATTATGGCTACCTGCAACAAGGTCTGAAAACGCAAAGACTGTTTTGTGTTCTCCGTAGTAATGCTGTCTTTTCATACTCTTCCCAGATGACAATGACCAAGGGATGGCAGAGAGGGAAGGCGAAATGCAACAAAATGACGATGATGGCTACTTGCAACAAGGTCTGAAAATGCAAAGACCTTTTGCGTTTTCCCTAGTATTATAGCTAATGCTTATAATTATGTCCCCAGATGACGATGACCAAGGAATGGCGGAAAGAGAAGGCGAAATGCAACAAGACAACGATTATGGCTACTTACAACAAGGTATGAGAACCTCTCCCTTTCCAACACACACACACACACTTTCTCTCCTCTACCTCTCTCTCAGTTATGTTCTGCTAACGGCGTAATGCTATTAGCTAATAACTGATCTGTCCTACATACCCTCCCCTCCCCACCCAAACACACGCTCCCTAATTCTCGATGTTGTTAGATATTAGCTTACAGCGTAAGAATGCGCATTGTAATCCTTCTCTCTTGCTGGTGTTAGCTATCATGCAGCTTATGGCGTAAAACGTAATAATGATGAATTAGCTGATCTGACCTCAGATGATACGGAGATGCCTGATGAGGATTCTGCTAAACAACTGATGACACAACTCGCAGAAGTTAACCAGGATGACGAAGAAGCCATGGAGCAAGTCAAAGGTTAGTTTATATATACAGTGAAAAACACCTTCTGAATAAGTAACACCTCCATAAAAAGTCTACGTTTCTGCCTATTACTTGTATTATCTCTGAAAAGTATATACACACTTTAGATTAAGAGGTTTTGGCTTCTAAAAAGGAATTAAGGTCACTTTGGTTCAGCCTAGTACCTAAAAAGGATTAATGGTTGAGAAACTGTCTCCAAGCCTTATTCACATGTTATAGTCAGCTATGTCATGCACTACCAATGATATGGCCATCTGCAGTGTTGATGAGCGGGTCGACTGTTGGACTGCGTCTGAGTGGATGTGGTCGCTGGCTCACCTGTCGCAGTAGGTTCTGCTCATCGACGTACGCAGCGTGTGCAGCAGCTCGATTCAAGATGTTCAAATCGCGACCTGGACCCATCCTAACCGGCGATTTCATCGGCCTTCACTACAGCTACGGAAGACCGTCCTGGTTTTCGTTGAAGAACTGCGTGGGTCAAAAGTCTGTTTGCCCGGGAACACCGTCCGTCTTTGGATTCAAAACTTGTCCACTTTGGCACACGTGCCAAACGGAGGTGTTCCAGATTTATGCCAAGGGAAAGGGCCTCGGAGCGAGAATCACAAACAAGGACATCGTAGCTCTGTATCACCCCGGTGTTACAGCAAGTGGCTTTGTCCAGTTCCTCAGTAGTAAGGTCCGTCTTTCCCAGTGCCTCCTCCAAAAGTCAGGCAACTGTCGTCCGCCGAGTGTCTCAGCATTCCACCGTTGCAAGGCAGACACCGTTCAAATCAACATCTTTCGCTGAAGAAGAAGGAGAGCCAAGTCATCACTCAAAATGGTCATTAGTTTTTTAGTTATTGGAACAGACAATTAGTATTTGTTAGCCGACTACATGAACTGTCAGAGTTTTGTTACATAATGTGAATGACATCAAAAGTGGATTTGGATACTCATAGTAGAAAACAAAAAGCCCCGAAAATACAAAATCGATCTTAGAAGTAGCAATGGCGGTCCAAGCATAGAATATTTAGTATTTAGCTTATGCGGTTGTTTATGTAATAATATTACAAAGAAGTGCCCACGTTTAGCTAAAGCTAAGAATCTGTTAGTTTCCTAGTTTCCTACGAATGATATTTCCCTGAATATACCAAACCATCCTGTTTTTGTTGATTTTCTGTTTCCTCGCACCCTTTACCAGTAATAATGTCATTTCCGCCACGGAAAAATGAAGCTTTCGATGCACACTACAAACAAGCTTGAGGTATATACCTATTATGCGCCTGAGCACAACGCTCCATGCGAAAGACTATATAGCATTATGGGAATGCAATAATATATAGGGTTAGAGGTGGCCTACTTTAATTTAAAAAAACAACAAAAGCAAAATTGCGGGCATAATTCTGTAGGTAACCCACTGGTAACATCAAATGGGGTAGCATAAAAAGATTCCTCCAAATGCGCTGCGCAAACCTCTTTAAAACACAGACCGATTGTCAGAAGGAGAGAACCACTGAACATTGGAGAATGAAGCTTCTTCTGACCGTCTCCCTTGGCCTGCTGGCACTGGTCTTCCAGCTCTCTGCTGGCCTCAAACTGATGACGATCTGCAACCGAAAGCGAAATGCAACAAGACAATGAAAAGCACTAAAGTGCAAACCCTCGGCGAACTGCGCATGCACGATACCGCAAAATTGATGGGCTCTGGGCTGCGTTTCCTCCTCGTGGTCGCCCGCTAAGCTCGCGGAGAGCCTGACACGGGCTAGCGACAGTAGTATATAGCATGCGGGAGTTGATACGCGCCCTTCGTTGCAGCTTTTTGTGCCTTCAAGATACACAGAGCGAGCGGACGCGGTCGAGGTAAGCCTGTGTTCATTTGCAAATAGCCTTTTCAGTTGGTTTTCATGCCGTAAGTCTCGAATGCAGTACTTTTACGAAAATCGCCAATTTAAAATCAAGCCAGTGTGGTGCTGAACATATTGATATCGCACTTTTGTTGTCTCCTTGCGCATGGTGGCAGATAACGTGGTAACAGACAGACAGACACAAAAACGGACCGCGTGCGCGCCGAGGGCTAATATGTCACCCAAACATTATACACGTTTGGCATTATAACTCCTCTCATCAGCCTGTTTTACACCACACATGACCTAGCTGTGCCTCCCGGTAGCTAGCTAAGTGGTATAAAAGGACACCCATGGTCCTGTCGGGATCAAAGTGCCCTGCTCTCGTCTCGTATGTCCAAGCCATCCCCCCCCCCGTGTGGAATGGACACACTGTAACATGTTACAATTAATAAGTGCCTTCAGTGACACCCCCTGCAGTCAGTGCCCTGAAAAATGTGTGGAAAATCATCGTAGCACCAATTAAGCTATTTTGGAAAATGAGTGCAGAGTTGGGGCAAAGAAGGGCAGTTATTGCTAGCCGTAATTGCTTGATATTGTAAAAGATGGTAATTTTTTTAATTTGTTTCTCTCTCCTTAGTTCACGAACTCCTCACTGTTCTTTCGGCCTACCCGGCTTGAGATCGGGAGTGAGACGTGCAGCAGATTAATTAATCTGAGGTAACCTAGTGAAGAAAGCTGTCTGTGTGCCAGCACTAACACTCTTCAAGTGCACTACAGGGTTAGACTTTCTTACTAAGTAGGAGTATGCAAAATTCCTCACCAGTATTCTCCATAAAAGTTGCTGAATGTTTAAAGTGCTGAAAAGTACACCAGCAATCTACCGAATTTCCTCACAAGAAATTAAGGCATGTTCAGAAATGCTGCACAGAGGATGCAAAATTCCTTATGATAATTGTTAGTTTGTCACACAAATTCACTTAAACATGAACAATAAACAGAGAAGGGTATCCTAAACTCTCCTAACAACATTCTCTTTCGATAGTTGTGGGTAATTGTTTCGCTAATTGTTTTCCCCTTTATTCTGTATGAGTAACATAGCCAGCTTTATGTGGGAAACTTAATTGTGAGGAATTTGGAACTTTCTCTGCGAAGTTACTGTTACTAGCTATGTGGGATAGGGTTACATGTGCCCTTTTTCGTTATAAAAAGCTGCGAAGCGAAAAGAGCAAGCACCAGATTTTCTTCTGTGACTAACAGATTTCTAACCGTCTACAGGAATGAAGCTGTGCCTCTATATCGGAGCGGCAGTCTCTCTGTTGGTGACTGCTGTACTAGCAGGTCCAGTGGAGGACTATCCTGTGGAAATGGTCTCTCAGGATATGACCAGTGATGGACAGTCGGAGATGGACGAGGACTACAATGCTTTCCTGGAGTCCTTTCCTCAGGGAGACTTTGAACCACAGGGTGATGTGCCAACTACACAAGATGATATTCGACAAGGTATAAAATTGCAAACCCTCGGCGCACGGTGACGCGCACGCGTAAGTAAACGCATGCGCCGTACCACTAATTGATGGGCTGGGTTTAGTTTTAGCTGTTACTCGTGGTCTCTACTGACTCTAGCCAGCTCGCGCAGAGTCTGACGCGGGCTAACTACAATACTAGATAGCATGCGAGAGGCGATACACGCCCTGGGTTGCATCTTCTGGTGCCTCCGAGGTACGCGGATTCTGGTAAGCCCGTTGTTATTTGCATATTGGCTTTTTCGCGCTCTAGCTTTGCAACGGAGCAGTTTCAGCACATAATTTCTGACCTTCATTGCCCGTTAAGTAGGTCGTATCCTTTGTGAGACGAACGAACACTCGAGAAGTGAGATGTAGAGTAACAGACAGACAGACACACACACACACATACACACACACACACACGAACGACTACAGTGTAACCCTCGCTGCGCATGCGCGCCGGGGGTTAATGATTATAGCTGAAAACGCAAAGACGTTTTGTGTTCTCCCTAGTAATGCTGTCTTTTATACTCTTCCCAGATGACAATGACCAAAGGATAGCGGAAAGAGAAGGTGAAATGCAACAAGACGATGATTATGGCTACTTACAACAAGGTCTGAGAACGTACATGGAATCACATACCCTCTCCCTTTCCAACACACACAAACACACACACCACACTTTCTCTCCTCTACCTCTCTCTCAGTTATGTTCTGCTAACGGCGTAATGCTATTAGCTAATAACTGATCTGTCCTACATACCAACCCAAACACACGCTCCCTAATTCTCGATGTTGTTAGATGTTAGCTTACAGCGTAAGAATGCGCATTGTAATCCTTCTCTCTTGCTGGTGTTAGCTATCATGCAGCTTATGGCGTAAAAACGTATGATGAATTAGCTGATCTGACCTCAGATGATACGGAGATGCCTGATGAGTATCCTGCTAAACAACTGATGACACAACTCGCTGAAGTTAACCAGGATGACGATGAAGCCATGGAGCAAGTCAAAGGTTATTAACCCTCGGCGCGCATGCGCAGCGAGGGTTTACAGTATATTGTCGTTCTGTCTGTCTGTCCGTCTGTCCGCGCGAGTTCTAGCACTACAGGCTACGAGGCGGCCAATGAGTGGCACCAACGGGTTGTGAACGACGAGAAGATTGATATGAATGTGGCGATTTTCCCGAAACGACTGCGTTCCAGAGATATGGCGTGAAAAAAGCTTACGCGAGCGATTCATCGCGCACGCGCGTATGTGGTTGTATCGTTTTGCCGACGCGAGCGATCCATCGCGCACGCGCTTATGTCGTTTGCCGGAGAATGCGCATCCGCTAGATTCCGCGTGGTTATTTTAGTTGACCTCAAGCGGTTCTTAGTTTCTCTCCTCTCTGTGTATTTTGAAGGCACAAGAAGTCACAACGAAGGGCGTGTATCGTCTCTCGCATGCTAATCTACTACTGTAGCTAGCCCGTGTCAGACTCTCTGCGAGCTATAAGCGGGAGACCGCGAGTAAACGCATACTAATATATCGCGCATGCGCAGTTCGCCGAGGGTTTGCACTTCAGTGCTTTTCAGTTTATACGGTGAAAAAAAACCTTCTCAATAAGTAACACCTCCATAAAAATGTCTATGTTTCTGCCTATTACTTATACATTAGTGTATTAATAAGAGACACCTCTGAAAAAGTACACACTTAGAGGTTTTGACTTCTAAAAGGGAATTAAAGTTTAGCCAATATAGTACATAAAAAAGGATTAGAAACTGCTGTATTCAGATGTTTTAGTTATCTCATGCACTACCAATGATATGGCCGTCTGCAGTGCTGATGAGCGGGTCGACCGTTGCACTGCGTCTGAGTGGATGTGGTCGCTGGCTCACCTGTCGCAGTAGGTTCTGCTCATCGACGCACAGAGCGTGTGCAGCAGCTCGATTCAAGATGTTCAAATCGCGACCTGGACCCATCCTAACCGGCGATTTCATCGGCCTTCACTACAGCTACGGAAGGCCGTCCTGGTTTTCGTTGAAGAACAACGTGGGCCAAAAGTCTGTTTGCCCGGGAACACCGTCCGTCTTTGGATTCAAAACTTGTCCACTTTGGCACACGTGCCAAACGGAGGTGTTCCAGATTTATGCCAAGGGAAAGGGTCTCGGAGCGAGAATCACAAACAAGGACATCGTAGCTCTGTATCACCCCGGTGTTACAGCAAGTGGCTTTGTCCAGTTCCTTAGTAGTAAGGTCCGTCTTTCGCAGTGCCTCCTCCAACAGTCAGGCAACTGTCGTCCACCGAGTGTCTCAGCATTCAACCGTTGCAAGGCAGACACCGTTCAAATCAACATCTTCAGCTAAAGAAGGAGGAGAGCCAAGTCATCACTCAAATGGTCATTAGTTTTTAGTTATTGGAACAGACAATTAGTATTTGTTAGCCGACTACATGAACTGTCAGAGTTTTGTTACATAATGTGAATGACATCAAAAGTGGATTTGGATACTCATAGTAGAAAACAAAAAGCCCCGAAAATACAAAATCCATCTTAGAAGTAGCAATGGCGGTCCAAGAATAGAATATTTAGTATTTAGCTTATGCGGTTGTTTGTGTAATAATAATATTACAAAGAAGTGCCCACGTTTAGCTAAAGCTAAGAATCTGTTAGTTTTTTACGAACGACATTTCCGTGAATATAACAAACCATCCTGTTTTTGTTGATTTACTGTTTCCTCGCACAATTGTGCAACCTTTACCAGTAATAATGTCAATTCCGCCACGGAAAAATGAAGCTTTCGATGCACACTATATACAAACAAGCTTGAGGTATATACCTATTACGCGCCTGAGCGCAACGCTCCATGCGAAAAGACTAGCATTATGGGAATGCAATAATAGGGTTAGAGATTTGACAAGTGGCCTACTTTATAAAACAACAAAAGCAAAATTGCGGGAATAATTCAGTTTCTGTAGGTAACCCACTGTCAACATCAAATGGGGTAGCATAAAAAGATTCCTCCAAATGCTCTGCGCAAACCTCTTCAAAACACAGACCGATTGTCAGAAGGAGAGAACCACTGAACATTGGAGAATGAAGCTTCTTCTGACCGTCTCCCTTGGCCTGCTGGTACTCAGTCTTCAGGCTCTCTGCTGGCCTCAAATGGACGAAAACCTTCCATTCGATCCATCTGAGCAACAAGACCGAGAGGGTGAAATGGAACAAGAAGATTACGATTTTGCCAATTCACAGGGTGAGTTAAACACGCTTGACTTTATTATGAAGAACATGGGCACAGGTAAGTGAGCACCAAATTCAAATTTCAGCAACGTTTTTTTGGCGCCGATCATTTGCACTGTGAGTTTTTTTGCGCAGATATTATTGAGTGGTACGGTATACACATGATTGTTCATGCTGTGGTGCTCTTATTATCTCTCCACAGAAAATGAGCCTCAGCTTTCAACGGATGTGAAAAAAGAACTGCAGAAGCAGTTGGGCAATAGAGGAGGTGGGACCGAGGCAGTTTACTTCCAGCGTAAGTTTAGAAATTTTTTTTGTATTAATCATGTTCATTACTTCAGAGGAACCAGGGATGCCAGATGACGTTGTTAAAGAAATGAAGACGCAAATTGCCGCTGGTAGGCACGGCGAAGCTCTCATAGAATCGACCTCCAATGGAAGAGGTAAATTCTAATTATTGTGCATGACATCATCATCGTTTTTGTCCTTAACAGTGTTGAAGCACGGGTCCGCCATTGCACTGCAGTTGGTTCAGAACGACCTCTGGCTAAGTTGCAACCGCGTCAAGTACTGCGCCACCGAGCCCTGCCCGGGCCTCTTTTTCGACAGCCCAGACGGCGCGACGTGTCGCGGAGAAGCATTCTGGATATACAGAGCCAAAGGATACGGTAACATTCTTACTGGGGATTTCGTCGGTCTCTACTACCGCAGCAACACCTGGTTCTCGATGACCGGGAGTAGGGGGCAGAGGTCCTATTGCCCCGGGACAATCAACTCGCGGTACGGTTTCAACAACTGCGGCAAGTGGTACAGTTGCGGCGGTGAGGTTTTCCAAGTGTACGCCAAGGGAAAGGGAGTCGGAGCTACAATCACGGACCAAGACGCTATCGCTCTGTATTATCCTTGCGGTAACACCTACGTGCAGTTTCGGAGCTACGGGCAGTATACGGGTCGTCGTGCTTGCTGAACAAAAGTGCGCAATCTCGCCCGCCCCGGGATGCGGCGTTCGACCAGTGCAAAGGTGACAGCGTCGAAATCACCATTTTCCGCTAGCTGCAACTAAGGAGGCAGGACACTGGACCAAAGAACTTTAGTAGATTAGCTAGAGACAGTTTAGTAATAGCTAGTCACAATAAATTTTAGTGCAGAATAGCTAGCTAGCTAATATAGATTTTGTCACCCATTTACGATTTTGATTTTGTAAAAAGGGGGGGGGGCAGTTATCGGCAGCGAGCGGACCAAAAGCGGAGACAATTATTTACAACCGGTGAACCAATTGACACCCTTATTAGAGGGGGTGGGGTACAGCGAAATTGGGGCGACAGAGGATGGGTAAAGCTAGATAGGAATAGCTACAGAAAGACAGATTACATTACTATTCCATACTCCAATTATAGTCAAACTATTATGGATGGTTGGCTTGTCTCCTTCTTCACTGATATTCCTACAAAAAATGCAAAATCGTTGACACCCTTAGTGGAGGTTTTGTGGTGGATTGGCAAAGGTAGCTACAGCAAAAGAGAGGCAAAAGAGGGATTGGTGAAGCTATAGATAGGTGCAGAAAGACAAAGCACATTACTATTCCATACTCCAATGATAGTCAAACTATTACAAATGGTTGTTTCGTCTCTTCTTTCACTGATATGCCTAGGGGAATTGCGAAATTGTTGGCACTGTCATTAGAGGTTGGGGGTGGGGACAGTGAACAATGAAGTGAAGGAGGGATTGGATAATAACAGTTGCAGAAAGACAGAATGGTAGACATTAATTTTATTTCGTTGCTATAGACCTCATCCACTCAGTTCCTGACTAGCCCCAGGGCTCTACAGGCTTTCTATCCCTGCATAGACTAGACTAATGTAAAGAGTTTATAGTATAAAGTACATTGTATACTTAGTCAACCAAGCGTTTTTCGGTATTCACATAGCACATGGTGGTCGTGGCAATAATGTATTAATACAGAAGTGAAAAGATGTGACATTTATATACACACGATGATGATTATGTTAAGAATGAGACTTTATCTGTTCTATAATGGCGTTTACATTAACTCTGACCCCACCAGATGACCCCTCAATGGACAAACCCACATAGCGACGACCGGTCAACATTGCTAGAGTTTTAAAACTTGGGTTACCCATCTCGAAATAGGGTTCGAGTTCTATAACTACAGCTTCCTCCCGCAGCCACCACAGGTGAACCAGCCCGGCTCCGTGGACCCCGACGAGAAAATCTGCGTCGTGCGTGTACCCAATCTGCTCGCAGACGGACAGCTCCTCCATGTGGACCGGTTTCACCGTGTAGTCCGGAAAAGATTTTTCCAGTCCCGCCACGAGCTCTTTCGCGTTCGTCAGGACCCTCTCGAAATGGCCAGGGTGATCCCCGGCCCATCTCGTGTACGGCTCCCTCAAAATGACAGTGATGAGTTTAGGGTCAGTTTTTCGTTTCGGTGCGTCTTCGATGCTGCATGCGGCTAGGACTCTAGTTCGGAAAGACCGTAGCGACGTTCCCGTTAGGCCACGTCCGTCGCACGCCAAACACTTATCCCTTATCTCGTACTGCATCTTACACTGGAACAGTATCGTTGCGTAGCACTTGGGCACAAGCACTGCCTTCCTGAAGCAAACGTTACCATCCGGAAGATCCGTAGCTGGCATAACACCAGGAAAAAGGGCCCGTTCGTAATCAGAAAAGATGTAATTGTACCCTTCGGTGAGCCTGAAAACACGATAGCTCCCAGGCTCCACGTGGTGATCAATTAGACTCTTGTGAATTGAGTAGTACGCTAGAAATCTGAAGTAAACGTGGTGAGATTGACTGCTGAAGAGAAAAGCCGTCTCGTTAATCCAGTGCTGACAGGACTCTTTGGGGAGGGCATGATTAGATATGAGGTCATCAACAAACCACTTCACGTAATCCCCTCCCTCCATCGTTTTGGCAAGGCTGCAGGGAGAAGAAATGCTATAGTCAACACCAATGACGTAAATTACAGTGTAAACTAAGGCTCAATTGGAATTTACTGCTATCAACCTGCCATATATAATAATATATAACAATGCAAGTATTTCAGATCTCAAACCCCGCTATTTCTTTAGCAACGAATTACAACACATTGCACAATGATACAGTACACAAATCCAGAACCAATCGGGACAGAAGGAGGAGTCCATATTAGTGAGGTGTCCTAATCATCATGTGCAAGAAACTGGTCTATTGGTAAGGCGTCCTCATTTCAGTTGTGTCCTTAGCAAAGGGTTCGACTATGCAACCAGACAAGTTAAGTTGTAATTTAGTGTTGTCATGTTGGAAAAATTTATATTAGCTACATCAGAGAGTACAGCACACGAACGCCCAGATATGAGACCATTACTACAAGCTGTAATAATGCTCAGGATTGGGTGCTTCAAATTTTTGTATGTACTGTGGGTACGATGCTTCAGGAATCGTACACACTGGGGCAGGGAAACATCTGAATAAGGTGACATTGATACCCAGAGGTGTTGCTATTTAGAAGTGTACACTACGACAATACACTAATGTGCAAGTGCTAGAACGAATGCCGTGCATTTTTGGACGAACTCCAAAGTCACATATAGCGTGGCTATACATACTAATAATTATATACACCATTGCAACTTATAGGGGTGCTTTTAGACTTAATAGGGCCTTTGTTCAGAGGTTCAACAGCATTCTCATCCCCTTTTCTCTCCCTCCCTCCTCCCTTCCTCCCCTCCTCGTCACTTACTTATCAATAGTAGACTTCCCACAGTCATATTCTCGATCCGTCAGTAAACCAACAGCTCCAGAATGTGGAAAGGAACCCTCCACGTTCTCCATGGCCTTCCACAGCTTCCGCGGTCTTATCATAATCTGATGCATGTCGCAAGTTGCGGCGTGCGCATTCTCGGGATTCCAAAAACAACGAATCTGCGATCCTTTTCTGCAGACTTCGACGGGTGTGTGATAGCGTCTCTCGAAGAAATCCTCGCAGAAAGACCTACGTTTCCATGTCGACCCGCCAGCGTGAAAGAGGTGAGAGAGGGTCGAAGTGTCTATGACGTGGGGAGACAGTTGCTTAGTCGGAGGAGAGGTTATTTCAGCTGAATTTCTTGACATCAAAGCTGGTGAAGGTTGAAGACAAGAGACGTGACATTAAGTGTGACATGTACAGTGGAACCCCTCTCTAAAGGCACCACTAAAAGAGGAAACAAGGACACCTTTTCTTTCCCCAAAAACCCAAAAAACAGTTCTTGCAAGAAATTAACAGCTGAAACAAGGACACCTGACTAATAATGGAAAACTCTCTACTGTATATACCTAGATTAGAATGGTACCACTGTATATGCTGTAAATGAAAGTAATGTACTACATGTACAACAAACAAGATGATCAAAGGCTTACCATAGAGTGCTAGTTGATTACGGTCGGAGGAAAGAGAACGCATCACATTTGCATGCAATTGAAATTTGAAAACTTTAGGACGAGCCTGTTGAAATGAGAGAGAAGCATTTTTGATTTACGTCCATCGATACAACCACATCTACATATCTGTGCACAAATACCTTTGGTCTTTTTGAAAATAAGAATGCTTTGATGTTGAAAACATAATCAGCACTTACAACTTGTGCTCATTAAATCATTATATCAATTGAATTTTAGCAGCATAAATTAAGCCACGCCTACGGCGTTAGAGTAAAAACCATGCACGGGGATTAAAGGAGCTGAACGTCCACAGTAGGAGGCACACAGAACCTGCCGTACTCTAAGTTAGCCTCTGAGGTGTACAAGTATCGAGGATTGGCCATCGCTAGAAACAACCAACAGAGCGAAAGAACTAGGACAGACGAACGAATGAGTGACGGGAGAGTCTGCATGCTTTGGGTACTTTATATCTGCTCGAGGCGTGGCTTTACCTGCAGAATTTAATAACTATGACATGTAGAGTGCATGCCAGATGGAGTATGAACAACCCCAAGGACAACACTTTAGTAGCTGGTAGAATTTAATAACTATGACACTAGAGGGAGTAACAACCCCCAGGACAACAGCTTTGTAAGAAGAGTTGCCCTGGGTGGGATTCGAACCCACGGCACTCTGCTGTCTAGGTGTGCACTCTACCAACTGAGCTACCAGGGCAACTCAGCTGGTAGGGGTTCGAATCTTCAACACAACACAAAGACAAACCTCAAATCACTGTATACTGTCACTCAGTAGGTATATACATGTAGCAAGACTCACCCATGCTAAGAAGACGATAACTTGGACTAGGACTAGGACAACAATCACAGACAGCAACAGAAACCGACGCGATGCCATTTCTCCTGAAGAAATACACAAGAATTGATCTTACCAGGTTTCTATTTACTCAGGGTACACAAGGAAGGGGGCCAACATTCTGCAAACAACTCTAGAATGCCACAAACTCCATATTGAAACTAGACTACAGGGCAACATAATGCATAAACCGACTACAATAGCTACCTATTGACGTGACAATATTTGGGAGAGGAAAAGGCGAAAGTCGTGCATAGCTGTACATACATAGATGTACGCACGGGAATAGAAACCCTTTTCTGTACCGTGACATAATAGAACAAGAGAGGCTGCCGCCTATTGATGCTGCGCAGGGTGGCTCTACGAGCATGGCAGCGTTTACGTCTGCTGGTTGCGTGAAACGCGGCACGGAAAACACACCGAGAAAAGCACGTTGTCATGCGTGCAGGAAGAAGGGCTGACTTACCCGCCACGCCGCCCCCTGCCGCCTTTCCTCAGTGTACACGAGTACCAGCACAGAACACAAACGCCAAACACATTCAGCTCACTGTGTACTCCAGCAACGAGCAACGGTGCAAAACTTCGACCTCTCTAGCTAGCTGGCACGTGCGCAAGTGCGTGGGAGGAGAGAGGGATAAGCTGGCCGAGCGCGCGCATGTGCTTCGCCTAGCTTCTCGTCAGTTCACCTTTCTTCCCTGCACTGCGATCTGGCCCTACCATGAGCTACAACTACGTAGTGACGGCGTACAAGGGGACGGCCGTGACGGCTGTCCAGACGGGCAACTTTACCGGCCCCGAGGACATCAATCTGATACAGGCGAAAGGATCTTCTCTCGCCGTGAGTGTCGTGACGCCGGAGGGACTAAAACCCGTCGCTGACGCCAGTATCTACGGACGCATCAGTCTCATGCGAGTCTTCAGACCAAAGGTATCCGAGGGGCATTCTCCGCGTGGTGTATATTTAACTCTCGCTTTTCTATCTATACACCCCCGAAGCTAGTATGTAACGTGAGGGAAGAATGTGCCTTCTTGGCCGCCATTGGATGTGCTCTAGCAGCGCCACCAGCGGGAAATACAGCTACAAAAGCTCCCATCCCTTATTAGAGCGCACCACATGTATTCTTGCTCCAATTGAAGCGCACCCCCCAAGTTAATGCCTACTCACCCCTTGAGCTCTCGCTCTCCCTCTCTCTCCCTCCTCTTCCTTCTCTCTATCTCTCCCTCTCGTCTAGGGAGAAAGTCAGGACCTGCTGTTTTTCATGACTGCTCGCTATCATCTGGCCGTGGTATCCTATGACTCTGCATCAGGGGACATTGTTACTAGAGCCTATGGCGACATGAAGGTATGTATACCTGCACATCTGCAGCAGTGGAATAGAAAATTTGAGCCATGGATATTGGCAAGTGATGCAAGCCTACCTGTATAATTATGTATTATTTATACATATTTTCCAAATTTTGTATAATACGTATGCTAATGCATTGTACATACATGCCATGCATACAGTACAATAGTGTAATCAGAGCACAGTTTTAAAATTTGTACGACTTTCCTTCCCAATGAGCTCCTCGTATATGTCCTTTCCCACTTCTATTATAAGTATTAACCCTTTCCCTCCCCAGGATCCTTTACCTTAACCCTTTCCCTCCCCGGGATCTTTTAACAAAGTATACCTTAACCCTTTCCCTCCCCGGGATCTTCTCTGACCATATTAACCCTTTCCCTCCCCAGGATCATCCCTGACCTTAGTGTTTATGTACATGAGCCCTTTTTATACCTTCTCTAACCAACGTGAACATTAACCCCTTTTCCCCCACTAGGAGAGAGTGGGTCGACCAACTGAGGGTCCTCAGATCGGAATAGTAGATCCAGACGGCTCTATCATCGTCCTCCACATCTACTGTGGTATGGTGAAGATTGTACCACTGGAGTTGGACTCCACTGAACCACTCACCGCTTTCAACATAAGGTCTATAGCTCACATACGATGTAGTGGGAAAGGGGTAAATACTGAGCCTCCACATACGTGGTATGGTGAGATTGTACCCTGAGTGGCACTACACGCTCACCTTAGGTCTACTGTCTGCTGCTTCATCTTTGTGAGACATACGTTAGGGGAGGGGTAAATATGATGCCTACATCTACTGTGGATGGTAGATGACACTGGATTTGGCTCACTGAACCACTCACCGCTTTCAACATAAGGTCTATAGCTACATACGATGTAGTGGGAAAGGGGTTAAATAATGATCGCCCTCCACATCTACTGTGGAATGGTGAAGATTGTACCACTGGAGTTGGACTCCACTGAACCACTCACCGCTTTCAACATAAGGTCTATAGCTGTACATGCTACATACAGTGTAGTGGGAAAGGGGTTAAATAATGATTGTCCTCCACATCTACTGTGGAATGGTGAAGATTGTACCACTGGAGTTGGACTCCACTGAACCACTCACCGCTTTCAACATAAGGTCTATAGCTGTACATGCTACATACAGTAGTGGGAAAGGGGTTAAATAATGATCGCCCTCCACATCTACTGTGGAATGGTGAAGATTGTACCACTGGAGTTGGACTCCACTGAACCACTCACCGCTTTCAACATAAGGTCTATAGCTGTACATGCGATGTAGTGGGAAAGGGGTTAAATAATGATCGTCCTCCACATCTACTGTGGATGGCGATGAAGATGTGACCACTGGAGTTGACTCCACTGAACCACTCACGCCGCTTTCAAATAAGTCGATAGCTGTACATGCTACATACGATGTAGTGGGAAAGGGGTTAAATAATGATCGCCCCCTCCACATCTACTGTGGAATGGTGAAGATTGTACCACTGGAGTTGGACTCCACTGAACCACTCGCGCTTTCACATAGGTCTAGAGCTGTACATGCGCCATCCAGTGTAAAACAAAAAAGTGGGAAAGGGGTTAATCCATTTATAGGAATGTTGTGGGCTTCTTATACTACCTACATATTATACCTGACCTGTACAGATTGGATGATCTGATGCCAGTTGACATGTGTTTTCTTAAGAACACAGAGAACAACAAGACAGTGGCTCTCATTACAGAGGTATTCATACATACATACATACATACATACATACATACTACATACATACATACATACATACATACATCCAACATCATACGTACATACATACATACAACATACATCAGGTGTACGTGAGTAATGTAAGGGCCTTGCACACACCTTTGGGATCTTCTTAATAACCAGTATGTTACCATATAAGTATTAGCGTCTCGTATACATTGACCTGACCCGTACAAACTAATTATATGCCTTATGGAGGTCTCTGGACACATTAAATGTGTATGTGTCTATGGCTTGTTTAAGTGTTAAGCGCTGGAACCGACACTGCTATCCCCATTTGCACCAGAAAACTGAAAAGCAATTTCATTCAAGCCAAAATAATGTACGCATATTATTGATGTTACTGCGTACCAAGTATTGGCTTGCAACCAAAGACATTTTCAGTAATTGGGGGAATTGCATAACCTTTTGATGTCTCTCGCTCCTCCCTCCCTCCCTCTCTCTCCGCGGCTCTCTCTCTCTCTCCCTCCTCTCCCCTCCCTCCCTGCCCCTCCCCTCCCTCTTCAGGACTTTCCACCGCTCGCTACTCAACTGGCCAATAGTCTCTGTGCAAGACAAGACTCATCAAACCGTCACACCGTCGGCCATTGACTCCAGGCATCTCTCCTCCATCCTCTGTCATCGGAGGCGTGCTGGTGGTTGGCAGCGAGACCCTGCGGTGTATGGGACAGTCCATCATTCCGTCGACTTCCTCCCATTCTTAAAGTATGTTCATCATTATGTAGGTATATGTACTATACAGACTAACGGTTCATACAAGTAGTACAGTAGTGTATGGGACAGTCCTTCATGCGGCCTGTCGCCCTATTCTAGTGTACTGTATATACATATGACGTAGGTACAGTAATATGCTCAGGGTATGACAATTGGGTAATGACAAGCACTAAGTGCACACCCTCAGCGAATACGGCGCATGCGCGGTAGCACTAATGGACTGGTTAGCAGTATGCATTTCTCCTGCTAGTATGTAGCTAGCTCGCGGAGAGTCTGACCACTGGCTAAGCGACAGTAAGTAGATAGCATGCGGAGTCCGATACACACGCCCTTCGCCTGTCACTTTACTGTAAAAATTTATCAAGGGGACATTCGTCGGAAATTACGAAATCGAGTTTACCTCCAATATTTTCACTATTTAGGAGTGTGTCATATCATGTGTGGGAGCTGTTGACGATCGTCCCGCTATCTCCTTGAGATGCCATGGCCGGCTACTCATGCTCTTATTGAGACTGAACAGGTACGACTTGCTGAATGAAATGATTAACCCTTTGGACCCCATGGGTAATCTCCTTGAAATAAGCTGAAATACATATTAACACGTAGTATTATAGCCATATATAATATATAATTCTTATGGACTTATGGAGGCTCTGGGCATAATGCTTGCTAGAATTAATAGACACTGTTTCTCAAAACAGATGTATTACATAAATTTGCATTAAACTATAATAATATAATGCCTTTTCAACCTTGGGTTGTAGTGGATGTGTGCTGACTTAGAAATTTGCAATGTCTGTGTTTTATTATGATCTTTAATAATTAATTAGTGAAAATGTTAATTTTGTCACCAGTCCATTGACACGAGCAGACCAACATTACCATGAAACTGGAAGTTCTGGAGAGGTTAGTACCACCACTGTGTCATGTGACTATTGTATAGTGTCATGTGACTTACTGTATAGTGTCATGTGACTTACTGTATAGTGTCATGTGACTTACTGTATGGTGTCATGTGACTTACTGTATAGTGTCATGTGACTTACTGTACGGTGTCCACTGACCTTTTACGGTAATGGTGTCATGTGACTTACTGTATGTGTCATGTGACTACTGTATAGTGTCATGTGACTTACTGTACGGTGTCACGTGACTTACTGTATGACGTCATGTGACTTACTGTATAGTGTCATGTGACTTACTGTATGGCGTCATGTGACTTACTGTATAGTGTCATGTGACTCAACTGTATTGGCGAGTGAAGCGTACCTACCTAGTCCTCTGAATGTGTATAATTATACACGTAACATAGCCATGTTCTTACTACTGTACATACAAACTCTACACTCCAAAAACTGAACGTCATTCTAAATACACACGAAAATTTGAACGTCATTCTAAATAAGCTCGAAAAATTGAACGTCATTCTAAATAAGCTCGAAAAATTGAACGTCATTCTAAATACACACGAAAATTTGAACGTCATTCTAAATAAGCTCGAAAAATTGAACGTCATTCTAAATAAGCTCGAAAAATTGAACGTCATTCTAAATACACTCGAAAAATTGAACGTCATTCTAAATACACTCGAAAAATTGAACGTCATTCTAAATGAGCTCGAAAAATTGAACGTCATTCTAAATACACTCGAAAATTTGAACGTCATTCTAAATAAGCTCGAAAAATTGAACGTCATTCTAAATAAGCTCGAAAAATTGAACTGCTCTCTCTCACTCACCAAACATGCGTGGCATTCGTTTTATAATGATACACAGCACAGTCTGTATCGGGTGTACTTCGTGTATTGTACATACATGTACTGTACATGTACTGTTATATATGTTCTCTATGTAGACGGTGTCTCCATCGTGTATTGCCTACCTTGACAACGGAGTGACGTTTGTCGGATCATGTCTTGGAGACTCACAACTCTGCAAGGTACATACATATGTACATATATAACTGTACTGTATAGATTTGTGTAAAGTAATGTGCATCGTATTATAGTTCAGAACCACGAGTGCTGCGCTCATGGCAGCGTTTATAAACTCGTGATGCCAGAGAGAGAAGTTGGGTATACTCTGCTGCCAACAAGCCCGAAACAGCTGTCCAGAGCTCCCCATCTTTTTTCTCTTGGCCTCACATGGTCTAATACCTTCATGTACAACGTCAGTATTTACCTACTCCCAGAATTTTGATGAATCGTAAAAGTTTAGGCCACCCTATTTTCTGGATTGCACTGCACACTCCAGCTATAGTCGAGGTATTCAGGATGGTTGGTTGGCCTATCCTTCCCCCCACTTGCTTGCTAAAAGTACGAAAAGTTTAGGCCACCCTATTCTTTCACTGCACACTCCAGCTATAGTCAAGGTATTCAGGATGGTTTGATTGGCCTATCCTTCCCCCCACTTGCTTGCTAAAAGTACGAAAAGTTTAGGCCACCCTATTCTTTCACTGCACACTCCTGAGGATTATTTGCACTGCACACTCCAAGGGTATTCAGGATGGTTGGTTGGCCTGTCCTTCTCTCCACTTGCTTGCTAAAAGTACGAACAATTTAGGCCACCCTATTCTTTCACTGCACACTCCAGCTATAGTCAAGGTATTCAGGATGGTTTGGTTGGCCTGTCCTTCCCTCCACTTGCTTGCTAAAAGTACGAAAAGTTTAGGCCACCCTATTCTTTCACTGCACACTCCTGAGGATTATTTGCACTGCACACTCCAAGGGTATTCAGGATGGTTGGTTGGCCTGTCCTTCTCTCCACTTGCTTGCTAAAAGTACGAACAATTTAGGCCACCCTATTTTCTGGATTGCACTGCACTCTTCAGCTATAGTCGAGGTATTCAGGATGGTTGGTTGGCCTGTCCTTCCCTCCACTTGCTTGCTAAAAGTGCGAAAAGTTTAGGCCACCCTATTTTCTGGATTGCACTGCACTCTTCAGCTATAGTCGAGGTATTCAGGATGGTTGGTTGGCCTGTCCTTCCCTCCACTTGCTTGCTAAAAGTACCAAAAGTTTAGGCCACCCTATTTTCTTGATTGCACTGCACTCTTCAGCTATAGTCGAGGTATTCAGGATGGTTGGTTGGCCTGTCCTTCCCTTCACTTGCTTGCTAAAAGTACCAAAAGTTTAAGCCACCCTATTTTCTGGATTGCACTGCACTCTTTAGCTATAGTCGAGGTATTCAGGGTGGTTGGTTAGCCTGTTCTTCCCTCCACTTGCTTGCTAAAAGTACGAAAAGCTTAGGCCACCCTATTTTCTGGTTTGCACAGTAAGAAACTGCACTTCATTACAATTTAATCCCTGAAATATGGACACTTTACTTATATTATTGACACTTTCTTCCGTCCCATTGCCTGGTGTCTTTACCCTGCATTGTACTATTCCTCCATCTTCACCATTGGCTGCAGCTGTCTTCGGCGGCAGATGAGAGCGGGGGTTACGTGGAGATCCTGGAGACGTTCACCTGTCTGGCTCCCATTCTGGACATGAGTGTCGTAGACGTGGACCAGCAAGGACGTGACGTGGTATGTGGACACACTAGCTCCACAAACACGCTATGAAATGCGGCTGGCCATGCAATGTGTTCATTTTAACTTTCAGATCCCCCTCCCCCTCCTAAATTTCTTTGCCCCCTTGATCACATATGAAGCTGAAAGATTTTAACTTTCAGAGGGAAATCCCCCTCCCAAATTCCTCTGCCCCCTTGATCACATGTGAAGCTGAAAGATTGTGGCAAGTTGAAATTATATACGCGTTAAAAGACAAAAAAACGTTCTGACAAGTAAAGGTTCTGTAGCTGAGCACGGTATCTTAAAATGACAGATTCGAAGCGTGAAAATCGTGCCAAGTAGAACAAGGACCATGTTGTAGAATAAGGGGTGATGAACAGTGCTCTCCCTAGAGCGGGACTGCGGGGTGCTATATATGAGGATATCTATAGAAGGGAAAGAGAGAGAAGATGATAGGTCTACTGACATGTGGGCAGCTAAACGAAATCGAAGACTACATGTTTAAAATTTTGGTCACCGCAATGCACATTATATATATAGAGAATTTTCAATGAATTTTTTAACGTCGTAATAAAGTGCAAAAGTGGGTGTGGCTTGTATTAGCACCCTCGTTAAATTTCAGGCTGCGGATGGAGCACTGGATGAAAATTAACGAACTATTGTTATGTGTACGTGTGTGTGTATTTACGTAGGTGGTGACTTGTTCAGGGTTTGGAAGGAACGGATCTCTCAGGCTGGTTAGGAGTGGCGTGGGGATCAACGAACAGGCCTCCATCGACCTGGCCGGGGTGAAAGGGGTGTGGTCTCTTCGCTGTGGAACCGAGATGGCTGAGTCTGATAATACTCTGGTCCTCGCCTTCGTCGGACAGACCACGTGGGAATTGACACTACCTCTATCTCTCCCTCTCGCTTCCTCTTTTCCTCCAATATACATATGTATTGTACACCCCACCCCCTCTTGTCTTTCTCTGGCTCATTCCTCTCCCCCTCTCTCCCTCTCTCTTTCTTCTTCCTTTCTTCCCATCCTTCCTCTCTCTTCCTCTCTCTTATGTCTTTCTTTCTTCCTCCCTCCCTTTAACAGATCCTTCAGATCCAAGGAGTTGTATTGCCATACGTTTTCCCTTTCTCTTCTCTCCCTCCTTTTGTTCCATCCCTATCTCTTCTCTCCCTCCATTTCTTCCATCCCTTCCTATGTACCTCCAGTGTACTGAGTCTGAAGGGGGAGGAGGTAGAGGAGACGGAACTCGAAGGAATTGCTGCTGATCAACAAACTCACTACTGCTCCAACGTCATTGGCAACAAGATCCTACAGGTACAGATAAGAGCTCAACTACGCAGTAAGCGTCTGCAGGAAAACAGCTTGGTGTCTTGCCTGCATGGCTCACTAGAAAGGGAATGTGGTAGGTATAATTATTACTAGGAATGCTCACGTGCATATTTTGCCTCGCGCCTGCCAGCCAATGCGTAAACAGTCCGACTGAGGACGCTCGTGCGCGCGCTCTACTGACTGCGCGCGAAGCCAGACTTCCTACGAATCTGCGCGCACGGCGGAAGCTAGATTTCCTACAAATGACGGAAGTTATACATCCTTTTGGTGACTAATTGACATTCATAAGCGTGACTAATTGACGACGTACGTACGTACGCATATCGCGAGAATACCGCCCGGAGTAGTTGCCTCATACTAATGCGCTCGGCAATAAGGGCCAAATTTAAGCAGTAGGGATTTTCCGTATCAACTTCTCCCTACTTATTGTAAAGTTAAAGTAACATGCTACGTAATTTTTTGCTGGCTCGAAAGACATTCCTATAAATTTTCGTCAAACCGAGATAATACGTAGTAAATAAATAGAGGAGACAAGTAAATATCCTGCAAATTCTAAAATGAAAACAGCTTGGTGTCTTGCCTGCATGGCTCACTAGAAAGGGAATGTGGCAGTATTGTAAGAGCTAAATTTAAGCAGTAGGGACACAGTGAAGTAATGGAATTGAGTTCCGTTTTGAGTAAAATTTCTGATATTTAGCCTTACATCTGACGGTGTATATACCTCCAGATCACAGGGCAGAGTGTCAGACTGATCAATGAAGAGACTCTGCAGCTTGTCAGGTGAGATGTAGTACTTTTGTATCACTCCGTTGTATTGTGATGGTTGACACCCTCGATGTGGGGTGGATTGGACAGCAGATGGCTGGGTGAAGCTAGTTAGGAAGACAAATGGCAGTCATGTCTCTTTTTCCACTGATGTGCCTAGGGAAATTGCGAAATCGTTCGCACTGTTATTGGAGGTTGGGGGTGGGACAGTGAAAGAGAGATTGGAAGAGCTAAATAGGAATAGTTGCAGGAAGACAGAGTACATTACTATTCCATACTCCAATGATAGTCAAACTATTAAGCATGGTTAACTTTTCTTTTCTACAATCGGTGTACCTACAAAAAATGCGAAATTGTTGACAGCTAGAACACAGATGCCTTTCATAACTCTCACTTCTCTAAAAGTTTATGAATGTGTTTATGCTGTAAACCCCATTTTATGTAGGTGGTGGTTTTTATCTATCTATATATCTATATATCTATCTATGGCTGGTATGCTATGAACTATAGTTTCATGTGTTGATTTTTATTCCTCTGTCACTATAGCAAATGGGCTCCTCCCTCTGGTTAGTTGACTGTACACTATTTCTCTCTTCTATTTTTCACTTATTGCTTCCTTGTTTTTCCTCTGTCTTTTATGTCTAAAGCTAGGTTCACAATATGTCGGCCCATCGCACCGTGCCACGTCACGTCCTGCCGCAAGATAGAAATGTAGTCTATCCTCTCGGCATGGCAATGCAACATATTGTGAACCTAGCCTAATCTACGTTTCTCCTTGATTTCCCACCCGCTATCCCCCTATCCCCATCTATCCCACCCGCTATCCCCCTATCCCCCTATCCCCATCTATCCCACCCGCTATCCCGCTATCCCCCTATCCCACCTTATCCCCCTATCCACTCGCTCATAGGTAAAGGTATCAGCACGGGATCATGTGGAGGGTCACATGTGGTAGTTGTTGTGGGCAACGAACTATTCTGTCTAGATATTCAGGATTCTTCACTCCACCAACTCAGGTTTACAGACAATGAATTTTATTTCTTCAGCACACAAAAATTACAACACCTTAAATGGGAATGTTGCTGTAAATAAATAAGAGCAAAATTTATAAAATGGCACAATTTGATCTAAATACTCCCTCCAGTCATGTGACATTGGAACATATACTGCCACATTCCCTTTATGTTTAATTAATACACGTTTTGATCTGTTTAATTGCGATGCTCCCTCCAGTCATGTGACATTGGAGCACGAGATAGCGTGTGTGGATGTGAGGGTTCTAAAGGGTGACTCGGGCACCAGTAACATCTGTGCCGTTGGTCTCTGGACGAACATATCGGCAAGAGTTCTGCGGCTTCCCTCTTTGGATATACTTCACACACAGCCGCTCGGAGGAGGTGGGTGGAGCCTGTTGCCATGGCATCGGCACAGTTTGTGTGCTCGTATCTGTCACATTAATTGAAATTCTTAGCTATCGAATTGTAAGTTTTCCTTTGATAATATAGTGGTAGTAAGATGTTTCTCCAATAATACGTATTTTTTTACTGCAACAATTTATTTCCTCAAAATTTGCACGTTTACTGTTTTTGTGTTTTTTTTCTTCTGTTAGATATTCTTCCTCGGTCCATTCTGGTCGCTGAATTTGACACCCGGACATACCTCCTGGTTGCCCTTGGCGACGGGACACTCCACTACTTCCAGATGGACCCTGACTCAGGTATGTATCCATGACAGCAGAAACTCATATTTTTTTATCCGTACAACATTTCTATTCCGTTTAAACATTACAGTTTTACAATTGCATGCAACGGTGTCTATAAGTTAACCCTTTGGACGCCATTGGGTATCTGCTTCAATAAGCAGAAATTGATGTATAAAGTATTAGCACCTCGTATTATAACCCCCATATAAATTCTTATGGACTTATGTAGGATCTGGACACATTATGTGTCCGTGGCTGGTTAAGTGTTAGGCTTCTGTTGTTGTTATGCCCCTTTTCCCATGTGATTTTTGTGAATGTCTCTGCCCTCTTCCCTTCTCACCTCCTCCTTATCCAGGAGCCCTAACCAATGGTAAGAAAGTGGTTCTGGGTACAAAACCGATCGTCTTGAGGCAGTTTGTTTCTGGCGACGCCCACCACGTCTTTGCCTGCTCAAACCATCCCACCATCATTCACTGGAACAACCACAAACTGCTGTTCTCCAACGTCAATTTAAAGGTACTTTTATGTTCAGTCCTCTGTTCTCTAACTCCCATATTACACTCAAACGGTGCTCTAACAAATATTCCTAACTTCATACAGGAGGTCAACTACATTTGTACACTCAATTCGGACAGCTTCAGAGACTGGTTAGTTCACTAGTTGGGGTACTCTTTACACCGTTTTTTTTAATTCTTCTCTGTTCTTGTTTCCAGTCTTGCACTCGTTGATGACAATACTCTAACTATTGGATCTCTGGATCAGCTTCAGATGTTGCACATTCACCCAGTCCCGCTGGCTGAGTCCCCCAGGTTTGCTGGTCTTCGTGTTTAGCTATCAGGGGTTTGCTGGTCTTGGTGTTTAGCTATCAGGGGTTTGCTGGTCTTCGTGTTTAGCTATCGGTGGTTTGCTGGTCTTTGTGTTTAGCTATCAGGGGTTTGCTGGTCTTCGTGTTAGGCTATCAGGGGTTTGCTGGTCTTCGTGTTTAGCTATCAGGGGTTTGCTGGTCTTCGTGTTTAGCTATCAGGGGTTTGCTGGTCTTCGTGTTTAGCTATCGGTGGTTTGCTGGTCTTCGTGTTAGGCTAAATCAATAGAAAACAAATAACATAAAAAAAGAAAAATCTTGAAAAAAAAGGAAAGAAAAAAGCAGGGGGCAATAAGAAAAAAAAAGGGTAAAAAAAGACAAAAAAAAAATACAAAACAAAAAGAACGAAAAAGATAAAAAAACAATAAAAAAAATAAAAAAAAAAATAAAAAGAGAAAAAAAAAACATCTAAAAAAATAGAAAAAGCAAAGCAGGGGGGAAAACACAAGGGGATAAAAAAAGAAAAAGAAGCAGGGGGAAAAAAATTAAAAAAAAAAGTCAAAGAGTAAATAAGAAGACAAAAAAAAAAAGGCAAACCCAAAATAAAGAAAAAGAAGGTCAAACGCAATACAAAAGAAAAATGGAAAAGGGAAGGGATAAAACAAAGAGCAAGGGGGTAAGAACAAAAAAGCGGGCAAACAAAAAACAAAAAAGAAAAAAAAAAAGGCAAAAGTGAAAAAAGGGGGAAAAACAAAAAAAAAAAAAAAAAATAAAAAAAAAAAAATAAAAAAACAAAAATAAAAAATAAAAAAAAAAATAAAAAAAATCAAAAAAAAAAAACAAAAAAAAATAAAAAAAAAAAATATAAAAAATCAAAAAAAACAAAAAAAAATAATAACAATAAAAAAAAAAAACAAAAAAAAAAAAAAAAAAAAAAAAAAAAATCATAATAAAAAAAAAATCAATAAAAATAAAAAAAAAAAAAATATTAAAAGAAACAAAAAAAATAAACAAAAAAATATAAAAAAAATAAAAAAAAAAAAAAAAAAATAAAAAAAACAAAACAAACCAATACAAAAAAAACAAATGTAAAAAAATAAAAAAAAATTAATAAAAAAAAAAAAAAAAAAAAAAAAACAAAAAAAAAAAAATAAAAAAAAACAATAAAAAATAAAAAAAAAAAATAAATACATAAAAATAAAAAAAAAAAAAAAAAAAAAAAAAAAAAATAAAAAAAAAAATCCAAAAATAAAAAAAATAATCAGGGGTTTGCTGGTCTTCGTGTTAGCTATCAGGGGTTTGCTGGTCTTCGTGTTTAGCTATCAGGGGGTTTTGCTGGTCTTCGTGTTTAGCTATCAGGGGTTTGCTGGTCTTCGTGTTTAGCTATCAGGGGTTTGCTGGTCTTGTGTTTAGCTATCAGGGTTTGCTGTCTTCGTGTTTAGCTATCAGGGGTTTTGCTGGTCTTCGTGTTTAGCTATCAGGGGTTTGCTGGTCTTCGTGTTTAGCTATCAGGGTTTGCTGGTCTTCGTGTTTAGCTATCAGGGGTTTTGCTGGTCTTCGTGTTTAGCTATCAGGGGTTTGCTGGTCTTCGTGTTTAGCTATCAGGGGTTTGTCTGGTCTTCGTGTTTAGCTATCAGGGTTTGCTGGTCTCTGTTTAGCTATCAGGGGTTTTGCTGGTCTTCGTGTTTAGCTATCAGGGGTTTGTGGTCTCGTGTTTAGCTATCAGGGGTTTGCTGGTCTTCGTGTTTAGCTATCAGGGGTTTGCTGGTCTTCGTGTTTAGCTATCAGGGGTTTGCTGGTCTTCAGTGTTTAGCTATCAGGGGTTTGCTGGTCTTGTGTTTAGCTATCAGGGGTTTGCTGGTCTTCGTGTTTAGCTATCAGGGGTTTGCTGGTCTTCGTGTTTAGCTATCAGGGGTTTGCTGGTCTTCAGTGTTTAGCTATCAGGGGTTTGCTGGTCTTCGTGTTTAGCTATCAGGGGTTTGCTGGTCTTCGTGTTTAGCTATCAGGGGGTTTGCTGGTCTTCGTGTTTAGCTATCAGGGGGTTTGCTGGTCTTCGTGTTTAGCTATCAGGGGTTTGCTGGTCTTCGTGTTTAGCTATCAGGGGTTTGCTGGTCTTCGTGTTTAGCTATCAGGGGTTTGCTGGTCTCGTGTTTAGCTATCAGGGGTTTGCTGGTCTTCGTGTTTAGCTATCAGGGGTTTGCTGGTCTTCGTGTTTAGCTATCAGGGGTTTGCTGGTCTTCGTGTTTAGCTATCAGGGGTTTTGCTGGTCTTCGTGTTTAGCTATCAGGGGTTTGCTGGTCTTCGTGTTTAGCTATCAGGGGTTTGCTGGTCTTCGTGTTTAGCTATCAGGGGTTTGCTGGTCTTCGTGTTTAGCTATCAGGGGTTTGCTGGTCTTAGTGTTTAGCTATCAGGGGTTTGCTGGTCTTGGGTTTAGCTATCAGGGGTTTGCTGGTCTTCATGTTTAGCTATCAGGGGTTTGTTGGTCTTCGTGTTTAGCTATCAGGGGTTTGCTGGTCTTCGTGTTTAGCTATCAGGGGTTTGCTGGTCTTCGTGTTTAGCTATCAGTGGTTTGCTGGTGTTTGGGTTTAGCTATCAGGTTTGCTGGTGTTCGTGTTTAGCTATCAGGGGTTTGTTGGTCTTCGTGTTTAGCTATCAGTGGTTTGCTGGTGTTCGTGTTTAGCTATCAGGGTTCTGTTCAAATGTGTGTGTTATTTCTGATGCACGAGGTATTGGTCTCCTGTTGCCTGACACTGCAGGCGTATCAGTCACCAAAGACACAGTCACACATTCCTCGTGGCTAGTTGCCGAGTCGATGTTCCTAACGGCGACAAGACAGCCCTCATTTCACCGAAACCGTGGTACGAGTTTTTCCTCCTGGATACTGTTTTTCCACAAACTTTACCAAAACTCTGAATATGCATATGTGCATTATTTACTTATTTTCTAGAAGTTACCCACAGCTTACGTTGTACGTTGGTTGCACAGTGGCGGATCCAGATGGATTCCTTAGGTTCCGCGGAACACCCTTTTTGTCGTTTTGCGTGCATGCGTCGCCGGCCTCGTGCGTGCGCACGTGCGCAGTCAAAATGTTCTGAACCCACCCTTTCAAAATCCTAGATCCACCACTGTTGCTTGGTCATGAACTACGTAGGTATGTAGGTCTGTTTGCATTTGCTTCACATACCGTAACCGTCAGTGGTGTTCTTGTGTATTAGTGGAATGTTGAATGCATTTCCCCCCAGTGCCAGTAAGAGTGTCTCCAACATGTTAGAAGGAACCCATCCCGATGGTAAGGAATTGACGACGTACCATATTTTTTCTAATGTTGGGGGGATATCTTTGACTCCCCACCAATTTAGTTTAATCCAGTTGTTGGTGAGCTATAAATATAGCTACCTTATATTTTTATCATTTTTGCCCGCTTGAAAAAAATTATAGAAAAAAGCCTGTATGCAACAGAGTGGTCATGCACATAGAGTATACTGTGCCGCAGCACTGTGATTTGAGGTTTGCCTTGTGTTTGTTGAAGATTTGAACCACTACCAGCTGAGTTGCTTTGGTAGCTCAGTTGGTAGAGCTCTCGCCTAGACAGCAGAGTGCCGTGGGTTCGAATTCCACCTAGGGCAGCTCTTCTTTTTTCCTTGGAAAAGAAAGAGCTGTCCTGGGTGTAGTTGACTTGTTTGTTGTGCCTTTGCCTTTCTATATGCCTCGTAGTTTTCACAGTACATGTAATATATATATTGCAGACCTGTCAATTCTGCCAGTGACCACCACTGAGGAGTTGGAGGTATTTTCACTTCTTCTCTTTGACGAGAACTCTCTTGAAGGTATTATTGTAAATCTGATTGAAAGTGTACAGGTTTAAAAGAAAATGTAAAGATTTTCATTAGGTGTCAATTCCGCGATTAGGTGTCTGTTTTAGTACTTTTATACTGCTGAATTCCCTTTAAGATGAGAGAGAGAGAGAAACATGTATTGTTAAACATATTAATTAAGCACTGGCACATATAGCTTTCTACACCGTAAGAATCCGCAGAAACATTGCCATCTGAGTATATGTATACCACAACTTCATTCTAACCATAACTTTCTGTGTGTTTATAATGTTTAGGACTCTCTTAATACTAACTGCACACTTCTCTTTCTGTTAGTCATCCATGGTTACCAGCTGTCGCCACGGGAACACGTGACCTCTCTGACCTCTTGTGTCCTCGACTCCACCCACTACTATGCTGTTGGCACGGCGTTTGTTGATCCCACGGAGAAGGAGCCGAACAGAGGGCGAGTTCTGCTCTTCAGAGTCTCCCATACCAGTACGTACATGTTTCAGTCCCATACCAGTACGTACACGTTTCAGTCCCATACCAGTACATCCATGTTTCAGTCCCATACCAGTACATACATATGTTTCAGTCTCCCATACCAGTACATACATGTTTCATTCTCCCATACCATTTTGGCAACTGTGTTTTTACAAGAAGCATAAAAAGGGAAAGAATTGTTGTATCGTGTATGCTATGTGTACATACTACAGAGGTGCTAGAACTGGTGTATATGAATGACGAGGCTGGGGCTGTGTATCAGGTGGTCCAGTTTCAAGACAAACTGCTCATATCTGTCAACAGTGAGGTACAATATGAGACTCTTATTCAGTGTTTCGATGTTTGGTAACGTGTACATTTTCTTTAATCAGTGTGTTTTTCAAGGACAGTTTAGCATTTTTTGCAGGCACATTAGTTGAAGAAAATATCAACAAACTATAGTTAATATTTTAGCTCTAGATGGAGTATGGAATAGTAGAACACTCTATCTCGCTGTCTCTTCACTTTTCCTTCACCCCTACCCCTCTATATAAGGGTGCCAACAGTTTTGCATTTTTTGCAGGCACATAAAAATAGCAACAAACTGTCTTATACATTTTATATCTAGATGGAGTATGGAATAGTAACATACTCTGGCTGTCCTTTGTCCTTTTAATGGTTTGGTGGTTGTATTTAATTAATGTGCATGCAAGAAATGTGCAACTGTTAAGCCCGAGAATGAAGAACTATGTATTAGTTAAAGCACTGCCAGACTCTTTGATCTGCCCACACACAGTACTATAAACCTGTTGTGCGTTCTCAGGTCAGACTGTATAAGTGGGAGGAAGGGAAGATGGTGTTGGAATGTTCATACTCCGACACTATCCTGGCTCTCTACCTCAAGTGCAAAGGAGACTTCATCTTGGTAGGTTGACACATTATGTCTTTTACACTTACTAGTAATGCTTTATCATAAGCCTTGCATGAGCCCAGGTTTACCATACGAGTTACCATAAGTTACGTATGAGTTAGTGTATACAGAGTTTGGGGGCAAGATCCCCCTTTGCCCTCAGATATGACTGCCTCCCTGAACAATCCTTAGCAAGCCACGGACATATAAATGTGTCCAGAGCCTCCATAAACCCATAAGAAGCTATAATACTAGGCGTTAATATGTTATACATAAATTTCTGCTTATTTGAGGAGATACCCATGATGATATGGCATCCAAAGGGTTTTAATAATAAACAGTAAGAGTAGTGTTGTGAGGGTTATTTTGTTAAAATGTGATAAGTATGTATTTGAACTGCTAGTTTGCTTGGGTTAGTATGTTTTATTATTATTATATCATTTTCAGGTTGGAGATCTGATGAGATCTTTCAAATTACTGGTCTACAAAGCTGAAAAATCTGTCCTTGAAGAGGTACTGTACAGTAGGTAGATTAAAGCATTATAACTTGTGTCAAATTTTATCACTAAGTATGGTGATGGGCATGATACCTAGTATCATAGATGTATGGTTATAGTATGACAAGGTGTATATTGTTTTACAAATTTGTTGTTTACTAATATATATTTAACCCTCGGCGCGCTTGCGCAGCGAAGGTTACTGTAGTTGGGTCTGTCTGTCTGTGTGTCTGTTACTCAACATCTCACTTCTCCAATGTTCTTTCGTCTCACAAACGATACGACTTACTTAACGGGCAATGAAGGGCAGAAATTTCGAACGGTTTTCTCTGAAACGCTCCATTGCAAAGCTAGAGCGCTTCCTCAATTGTACGGCTAATGCGTAGCCGGCCATTTTTATCGCTGCGGAAAATGCGCATGCGCTTATATTTAGCACAGGCTTACCTCGACCGGGTCCGCTTGCTCTCCGGCTAGTAGCTCGCAGAGAGTCTGACACGGGCTAGCTACAGTAGTAGATAGCATGCGGGAGTCGATACACGCCCTTCGTTGTGACTTCTTGTGCCTTCAATATACACAGACCACAAGTAAACGCATACTAATAGGGGATAGCCAATTAGCATTATGGCGCACCCGCAGTTCGCCGAGGGTTTGCACTTCAGTGCTTTTCATTCTTTTTTTACTGGGCCCTATAGTTTAGTTACATCTTAGCCCTGCCACAATAATAGATATCAGTGGAGACGAGTCTGAACCCTGTGTTCATGACAGCCATGGAGATGATTGACGATGAAAACTATCTCGGAGCTGACGGCCGTCATATCTTTGTCTGCCAGAAAAACAGGTTTGTTGAAGACATCACTTACTGTACTGTAGTTGTCTGCCAGAAAAACAGGTTTGTTGAAGACAGCACTTACTGCCTATTGGTACTGTAGATTGGTTTTTTGTCTGCCAGAAAAACAGGTTTGTTGAAGACATATCACTTACTGTCTATTGGTAGATTGGTTTTTTGTCTGCCAGAAAAACAGGTTTGTTGAAGACATCACTTACTGTCTATTGGTTCTGTAGATTAGTTTTTTGTCTGCCAGAAAAACAGGTTTGTTGAAGACATCACTTACTGTCTATTGGTACTGTAGATTAGTTTTTTTTTGTCTGCCAGAAAAACAGGTTTGTTGAAGACATCACTTACTCTCTATTGGTACTGTAGATTGGTTTTTTAATGCATTATTCTTAAAACGGGCAAAATTTAGAAATCGTTACTAAAATTATTTCACTAGGCCCTTTTTAGTTATAAATTGGACCCTTGTGCTGCTAAATTCTGAGTATTCTTGTCAAAATTACAATAATTGGCAAGTGAAGCAATTGAAGTCCGAAATAAAAGGCTTCATTTTTATGTACTTTAGCAAAGGTCTATCTACGTATATGTATGGTTTATATGATGGTACTACTATAATATATGAATGGTATTTTTCAGTACGTTAAAAACGTTACCAAAGATGGCACTAAAAACCGCCCAGTGCAAAAATTCAATTCAAATTCCTTATTTTAATGCACCACTGCATGCACCACTATTGTTGTTCTCGCCTCATTCCCAGCGAGGCCGCAGTGGAAGCTGACCTAATGTACATGCTGCAGCCATCACGGATGTACATCGGAGACAATATAAATGTTTTCCGTCATGGTAAATAGGATTATGATACATTCCGTATGAGTAAACCAGCATGGTGACCATCCATATTAGTGTAGTTCTACAAGTTAAGAAAAAAGGCTGATATTTTTCTTGCAGGTTCATTAGTGATGGAGCATCCAGGGGCTTCCCCATCTCCCATCCAGGGCAAACCCATCATCTACGGCTCTGTTCACGGAGCTGTTGGTACGCAATCATCACAGCACCGTATTTACACATGTCTTTAAGTGACGGCGAATGCTAGCTGAAGAATTGGTTTGACAAAGACAATAAAACCAAGAAGGGTCTTGTCAAACCTGTACAATAATGCGTGATGAGGCTGCATGCGAAACTGTGTAGGCACACACTTTAGGCCTTTCGCGGATGAACGGTCTAGCCAACCTGCACTGGCATTCGCACTGAGGCAGCTCATTGAGGAAGGCAGGGTCTAGCCAGAAAAGCGCACTGAGGCCGCACGCAGACAAGCACACTGAGGCCAGGCGCAGAGGAAGGGTCTAGCAAATCCTGCGCGAGCTGAGACCACGCGCAGCGGACAAACCTGTATTGGCATGCGCGCTGAGGCTGCACGTGGAGGAAGGTACTAGTCAAACCTGTGCAGAGAGGCCGCACATTGAGGAAGGGTCTAGGCAATATTGCGCAGACACGTGCGCTGAGGCCACGCACAGCAGAGGGTTCTAGCTAAACCTGTGCTGGATTGCGCACTGAGGCTGCACGTAGAGGAAGAGTTTAGCCCAGAGAGGCCATACATTGAGGAAGGCCACGCACAGCAGAAGGTTCTAGTTTCGCAGACACGTGCGCTGAGGCCATGTGCAGCAGAGGGTTCTAGCCAAACCTGCGCTGGCATGCGCGCTGCGGCTGCACACAGAGGGAGAGTTTAGCCAAACCTGTGCAGAGAGGCCACACATTGAGGAAGGGTCTAGGTAAACTTGTGCAGACACGTGTGCTGAAGCTGCGCATTGGGGAAGGATCCTGCGCACTGAGGCCACGGCGTGGAGGAAGGTTTTAGCCAAACTTGTCCTGGCATGCACACTGAGGCCACTTGCAGTGGAACAAACCTGTGCTGGTATGCGCGCTGACCCTGCAAGTGGAGGAACATACTAGTCAAACCTGCGCACAGAGGCTGCACATTGAGGAAGGCAAACTTGCGCAGACACGTGTGCTGAAGCTGCGCATTTGGGAAAGATCCTGCGCAGACACATGCGCTGAGGTTGCGCGCAGAGAAAGGTTCTAGCCAAACTGCTGGCATGCACGCTGAGAACAAACCTGCGGTGACATGTGCGGTGAGTCCACATGCAGAGGGCCAAACCTGCAGTGGCAGTGCGGTGAGGCCACCAGAGGGCCAAACCTGCAGTGGCAGCGGCGTGGTGAGGCCACCAGAGGGCCAAAGTATGCTGCACCACAGAAGAATCATTTCGTCATTCTGCAGGTCTCGTGGTACAGCTTGACATGTCAACGTTCTCAGTTCTGGCCAAGTTGCAGGAGAGTATGGCAGCTGTAATTAAGAGTGTCGGCAACATTGAACACGAAGTGTATCCTCTGTATAATGAATTCATGTAGTACGTAGTTGATCATTGATCACATAGTGTGGGGTAGAAGTATGTAACGTTTCGGGCACACACCATTACTTCTTAATTACATGTTGTGTGCATATGTACGTATTGTGGTTTACATGAGACAATCGGCCCTACCTGCCACTCGTTCTCCATTGTTTCAGCTGTGTGTTGTGTGTGTGTGTGTGCATGCATGTTTGTGTGTGTTTGTAAGTCTGTTCTGCTGAGTCTCAGAGTCTTTCTTAACCGAGTCAGGTACCGCTGTTTTTCAATGGAGCACACTGCAGCCACTAAGACCAAGTCGGCTGAAGGTTTTATTGACGGGGATTTAGTTGAACACTTCCTCGATCTTCCTCAGGAGAAAATGGAGCAGATTATAAAGGGGATCAAAGTAAACTTTTCTTGAACTTGTTCTGAAACTCTGAATAAGGGATAGCTAATCTTCTAGTTCTGAAGCTTTGAATAAGGGACAGCTAATCGAATTAAGCTTCTAGTCTTCAGCAAGAGTTTCCACATAACCTTGTCTGGAATAAGGATCTTAACTATTTGTATACCTGTGACCTGTTACACCACCTTACGAGGGCCACTTGCTCCACATATTATACATGATGATTATAACCCGTTGCTTTTTTGTGCTGTTGCAGAAAAATGATGCCCATGGCATGGAGGTGGATGTCACGGTGGAGGATTTGGTGAAGCTGATCGAAGACCTCTCAAGAATCCACTGACAATGAGTCCTCACTGGAGAACTGACTCTTTGTACATCACTCCATACATGCTCACTGAGACTTTCATGCAACAATCCTTATAAAATGCCATTTATCATCACTAACAACACCGTTCCGTGCGTATTTACTCATCATGCGTGTAGAGAGGGCGGTGCCGCGGGACCAGACTAGGGGGCGTTGCAAAGCTACATACAAACAGCCGAGCCGATCAGCTTTTCTCTCCACTGCAAACTACTCATACTGCTCTTACAGATGGCGGAAGGTGGGCAATTACAGAGGGTGAATATGCTGTATAATGTTAGTTGCTTGCGCAGCCCCAGCGGTCGACGAGACCTTAATGGAATCAGACGACGTCTCGAGAATTTTGGACGAGCTTGTGGAGGCGCAGAATCACTCCTACGTGTTGGGGGTCAAGCTATTGCCGCCACACGAGGTGGAAGCGATTCACCGCCAATACAAGGATCCCAAAGAGCGTCTGCTGCACATTTTTCTTGCCTTCACGAGGCAAATCCAGCCCAGACCGACATGGAGGGTCATTGTGGAAGCTCTCAGGAGTCCTTCAGTCAACCTACCAGCACTAGCTGCGAGGGTGGAAGCAGCTCATTTCCCTGACTCTACCGCAACACGCGATGTGGTACACGAGACTACTACTGGTATAGTTACCATCAGCTTCACTCTTGGTTAGTCATGTCTCTATTCTCGCAGACACCACAGAGTCTGCAGCCAACACTACTGCTGGTGATGATGATAAGGTCAAGTCTGAGCCATCTTCTCAACTGAACCCTGCTAATAGTGAGAGCATTATGTACCATCATCAGCCACTTTACATATCTTTGCTTTAGCCACAGGCACAGTTGCGATGGTGCAGGCTGAAATCAAGCGTCTGCACAGAAGATTCAACTCCCTGAAGGAGCTGACAATCCGGGGCCTGGAGAAGTCTAAAGTTGCTGTTATGACAGTAGTCTACTATCTCACAACCATTCTGACAGTACGGGAACACAAAGGATTTCTTGAGGAAAAACAGAAGTCACTCAGTGAAAGCAGCAATCACTGGGAGCTGTTTGGGAAGCTGAATCTGTACTGGACCTACCTCTCCTACGGCCTTTTGGAGCATCTGGTCGACGAGCTTGCATTGAAGCATAACTGGTTCCAGACGGCTGCTGGTGAGATGACCGCCTACAAGAAGGATCTGGAAGAGTTTAGAAAGCGTACAACATTGGTTCTGTTCTGTGAGGCTGACCCTCGAGTGCTCGATGAAGATCCTCCACCTGGCTTCAGGAAGATGGTAGTCAAGTTTGACTGGCCCCAAACTGCAACACTGGAAGATGTGGAGAAGTTCAGGAGACGATATGCCATCAGCTACGACCTTCAGACATGTGCCATGATGTTAAACAGCATTGGGACTGGATCTTTCACTGTCACTTGGTTCGTACCCGTCTCAGTGGTGGAGATGTTGAGGAAGAAGAGAGCATTAGCTGTCTTCAAGGAGTTCAGTGTCACTAGACTTGAGATCCACACCTCAACACAGATTTGTGTCTACCAAATCCTTCCTCAGAGACCAGTAAGTAGACTCTCAAGGCCGAACGATTTGCATCATAGTATGTTCACTACTGTTCTGTGACTTTGCATTGCATTGTGTGGTCCTACGATGCATTATCAACCACACATCAGAGTCTTTTCTCTATGCAGGTGGCTCCATCCTCAACCAGTGACAGCTTGGCAATTGTTAAGTCTAATGCTGCCAACAAAAGGTAGTAGAACATTTTGGTCCATCTTTGGATTGAAAATGCCCTCTTTTAGCAAGGAGTCAGGCCAGGTGTCGTCAGTGGATGAGGACTATCCATTTGTTGAGGAGCCATCAGATGACTTCTTCTGTCCAGTAATGATGGGTCTTATGCTCCAACCTCACCTCACATCATGCTGTGGTAATCATATCTCAGAGGAAGCTGCCAGCAGAATACAGAGAGAGGGAGGGCCATGTCCACTGTGCAAGAAGACGGATTGGAGCACGATGTTTAGCAAGCACTTCCAGCGTCAAGTGAACTCTCTTCGTGTGTTCTGTCGTCACGAGGACAGAGGGTGTGGCTGGCAGGGAGAGCTGGCTGCCTTTCACCATCACGTGGAGTCTTGTCCAATGAGAGACGGTCCTCCCATGACTGAGCTAGTGAAACTGCCAGTGTAAGTCAGTGACAGGTTCTTTTCAGTGGTGGAGATACATTATTCCTACAGATACAGAGAGACTGAACCCAGCCCTATTTCGTCTCGATCCAACTCTCCACAATATTGTGTGGTCCTACGATGCATTATCAACCACACATCGAGTCTTTTCTCTATGCAGGTGGCTCCATCCTCAACCAGTGACAGCTTGGCAATTGTTAAGTCTAATGCTGCCAACAAAAGGTAGTAGAACATTTTGGTTCCATCTTTGGATTGAAAATGCCCTCTTTTAGCAAGGAGTCAGGCCAGGTGTCGTCAGTGGATGAGGACTATCCATTTGTTGAGGAGCCATCAGATGACTTCTTCTGTCCAGTAATGATGGGTCTTATGCTCCAACCTCACCTCACATCATGCTGTGGTAATCAACAACTGATGGTCGATTTGCATACTTCACCCCACATAACTCCACCTCAGTCTACCAATATGAATGTAGTACAGAGAAATGGGAGGAACTTCCTTCATGTCCATATAAGAACTCTGGACTAGTCATTATTGATAGGGAACTAACTGCTGTGGGGGGATATGATGGATATCATCGACTATGCACACTACGACGGAGGGAATGGGTTGAGAAATACCCTCCAATGAACACTGTACGTTCCGACACTGCTGTAGTTACTACATCTGATGGCAAATACCTCATTGTGATTGGGGGGCTTGGTGGTGGTTGGACTGCTACAGTTGAACTATTACAAGTGAAGAGCAGAAGATGGTACCAACTAACAGACTTACCACAACCTCTCCACTACCCTTCAGCCACAATATTATGTGGTGATCAGTTGAACGCGATAGGAGATGGTGCTAATGGCTATTCGTGTTCTCTTGCAGCACTACCATCCAGTGATCAACCAATCACATCACCTCTCACACTATCCTGGAAACCTCTCCCTCCTCTACCATTGAGATCTAGAGACTCAACAGCTGCCACTCTCTATGGACAGCTAGTACTCATTGGTGGCTGGCGACGTGGGTCATCAGTCAACTCCATTCACCAGCTAGTGGATGGACAGTGGGTGGAGATTGGCTCTATGGCTAGTGGCAAGAGGTGGTGTTTAGTAGCCAGTACATCACCTAAGAAGATCATCATAGTGGGTGGATACAATGAATTTTTGGGAATACAAGATAGTGTTGAAGAATGTGTTGTTGTATAGTTTCATGCACTTCTTGTGTCCATCTCCCATTCTCTCATAATACACAACATTTCAACTCTCAAAATAGGAGACACTGCGTGTCAGTTTTTTTGTACAAGAATGATGTAAAACCTAAAAATCCGCTGTAGTGTATGTATACATATTATGTGATTACGTGCAAGCTCTGATCACATGTAGTCATGACATCATTGGTTAGTATTATAAGTAGGTACACCTGTGTTCATTCGCTGTCATTTGTAACTCGTGCTCGTAAAAGAGAGTCATTTTAATTTCCCCAAGCAGGATGTATGCGCAGGGCTTGCGTGCTAACATTGGCTAGTACATCACATCCACAAAAACCCAAAATCAAAGAATGTTCTTTGGCATGGTAAGGTACCCCCTTAAAGACATATTGAGTCATTCTCACAGAGTTTTGAGACTGTTTGTATGCAGACCACGTGAGATTTGCCATCCCTATAATATACGTCTACCGACGCTCTAATAGAATGGCACTTCTTGGTTTCTAGATTCTACACACATGTTCAGATATCTCGTGATCCGGTCCTAAATAATATTATGCACTTGTGCAGCTGTTCTGAGTAATTATTAATTTTAGCTATAACTCTTTCAACCCTTTGGACGCCATGGGTATCTCCTTAAATAAGCAGAAATAAAAGCCTAGTATATATTATGACCACGAAAAGCACTGAAGTGCAAACCCTCGGCGAACTGCGCATGCGCGGTATATTAGTTGCGCGGTCTCCCGCTAGTATATAGCTCGCAGAGAGTAGCTACAGTAGTGCGAGAGTCGATACACGCCCTTCGTTGTGACTTCTTGTGCCTTCAAAATACACAGAGCAAGAAGACCCGGTCCTGTGCTAAATATAAGCGCATGCGCATTTTCCGCAGCGATAAAAATGGCCGACTACGCATTAGCCGTACAACGGTGGAAGCATTCTAGCTTTGCAACGGAGCGTTTTCAGGGAAAACCGTTCGAAATTTCTGACCTTCATTGCCCGTTCGGTAGGTGGTATCCTTTGTGAGACGAAAGAACACTCGAGAAGTTAGATGAAGAGTAAACCCAATGAAAAGCACTAAAGTGCAAACCCTCGGCGAAGTAGCTCGCAGAGAGTCTGACACGGGCTAGCTACAGTAGTAGATAGCATGTGGGAGTCGATACACGCCCTTCGTTGTGACTTCTCGTGCCTTCAAGATACACAGAGCAAGCGGACCCATACAAGCGCATGCGCTTTTTCCTCAGCGATAAAAATGGCCGACTAGCATTAGCCGTACAATGGCGGAAGCGCTCTAGCTCTGCAACGGAGCATTTTCAGAGAAAACTGTTCGAAATTTCTGACCTTCATTGCCCGTTAGGTAGGTCGTATCCTTTGTGAGACGAACAGACACTCGAGAAGTGAGATTGAGAGTAACAGACAGACAGACAGACCCAACTACAGTACCCTCGCTGCGCATGCGCGCCGATGGTTAATTATACATTCTTATGGACTCATGGAGGCTCTGGACGCCCGTGGCTGGTTTAGAGCAGAGCAGTGGCATGATGTGAAAGAAAATGTGGGTGGAATAAACATGCAACTGTCTAGTTCAAGTAATAATGACATGAGCGGATTCTTGTGTTGAGAATTGCAGGGACGTATGAAACTTTTGTACATGTATAATATATAGGTAGATATGGGGCTGTGAGTGAGTGCCATCCCTACATATATTATAGAGTGTCAGTAGATAAAAGCTCAGTGAAAAAAGTGTGATAAACCATCATACTTTTACATAATTATAAGTGCACAATACCTTATTATTACAACACCCACAAAACAAAGAAACGAATGTTGAGAGGGAGGTGAAGAGGAAACTTTGTGCAGTATTTGAAATGTCGGTTTCACATAATAATGTATGCGCGAGTAAGATACATACATTGTGATATATAGGAGGAGACAGAAAGAAAGAGACTGAGTCACATACTCTGCGAGGTCATCTCTGATTTGAGAGCGTTTTCTCGCTGCTCTGCAAAGTTCTCAAACATCTGAGTCATGTGGAACGCCTCTAGAAACTGCCAACATAACATGTGACAAGCATGTTATGTCAGTATTAGCAAGTTGTATCTGAGAATGGTGGCTGTATATATTAGTGTTCTAAAATTGCTCTAATTGATTTGCAATGGCTTCTCATTTCGGAGACAACGGAAATCTTGCTATCAATGTCACAATCTACAAAACATCGTATTGCTGACACGCCTCACATCTGTACTCATAGCACCATACTTCATATTATCATGGGTACATTTGCACTATGCCCTTGTTATTTGTGCTGTCCTTATGCATTATGCTCTCTATGTGGTGTGTGACCGCTCCCACGCGCGCCCACGTTGCTATGCTGGAGTACGTTTTCGCGCATGCGCATAAACCGAGTGCCAGAAACAGCCGGTCGTTTTCTCGCGCGCGAGGGCATCACGTGGACACAGTACAGACTAGATATAGACTCTCGGCAGGCTAGGCACTATTATGCATTTTTACTTCCGGATGACTATTTTGAAGGTCGTACAATGAAGCTTCTTGTCGCCTTTTTGTTTGCAGGACTTGCGAATGCGCAGCTTGACGCCCAGGCACCGGGTAAGTCACCGCCATACGTTGCCGCTCCGCGCTGAGACTCTTTACGTGCAGCTATTCTGCAAGGCCCCGTGTCCCATGTTGTGGACGTGCAAAGAACCGTGACTTTCTCCTGTACCGCCAAAGCCGAGGACATAAAGTGGATCATCAACGGCTCTCGGTTGGAATCAAGCGCATACGACGGTGCAATAGACGTTCGTAGGATCCCCAGCGACGTCTTGTTCTACAGTTCGGTCACTTTTCCCGTCTCCCAGCAGTACCACTCCACCCGCGTGCGATGTCAGGCTGTGCATCAACAAAGCAGCGTTGAGAGCCCAGAGGCCTATCTGACTATCACAGGTGATTTTAGGCTTTTGGCTACTGCTACTCTGATTAATATCAACAGTGTATAGTCTCTTGGGACGTTGATTTCTTACTAACACAATTCCTAATGATTTGTACTCTCAGAGCCCTCCAGTAACTACCAAGTCGTAGTATTCTTTTGCAAGGTTTTAAAGCTACTCAAACACTAGCTTATTTCATGTAGTTTCAGAGAACATGCTTATTAACTATACGTTACTTTGCCTCTGGCCATTGAAGTTCCTACCAATCTACCAGTCAATTATCCCTTAGCTTTCATGTTGTGTATCTGCATGCTCAGTACCAAGAAATCGTGAGCTACTAGTATAAGGATAAAGTTACTTCTTGAGAAAAGTGACCAACCACCACTTTGGGTTAGTGTGTTTGGAGTTGTGTAATACCTCTGGCAATCATAATACACAAGTAGCTATAGCTAATTGGCATATCAGATAATGGGAGCTTTTATAGGGAGGTTTAGATGATACAGCACACCACAAGATCTATGTTACAGAATATACTTCTGAAAAGCCACATCTGTATATATAAAGTAAAAAACCCAGCCTTGTGTTGATAAATACAGTTGCAATAATATTGTTGTGTATATATACCATGTGTGAATGACTCTTGCGTTCACTCCCCAAAGCGATTGTTTTAAAGTGTTAATCTCTCTTCATTTGGTTTACTGACTTTAGCATGGTCCATCTTTGTAGACACAAATGGAAGAGATGATGAAAGAGATGACTGTTCACAAGGTAAATAACCCCAGTTTTTATAACTCTACTCTACTTCATTGCATGCTTACAAATCCTCACAAACAGTTATGATATCATTTTAGAGTACTCTAAGTTACCTACATATTGTATATACTAGTCCGCACTTCCTTAGCTATATGCACCATTCTTAGGAACAGGAAAAAGATCCAGCTTCCCATGCACCTTTAACCAAACTAATAACACTCATGCAGTCCCAGTGTGCCCATTTTCCAAGAAGTTCAAATGTGTAATAACAGCAGAATAAGAGTGCGTTAAAAGTTGCTAATGCAGGATAAACCTGTGTCATCCCTATAATAAATACAGTAGTATATATATATATAATATATATATATATATTTGTATGATGACTGAGAGTAAGATCAAAGGAATTCCAGCCAGTCCAAACAACGTAGATGCGTAGTGAGCGCTTCCTGCTCAGTCTACGGGTAGTTAGAACATAAAGAGGCCATACAATTTCCCCATACTTTAGCTGTATGTCAACTTATTTGCATAAACCACAGTGGGTCTACGGGAGTTAGACGATAGTAGGAAATTGGCAGCGTGGAATGCAATTAGGGGCTTTTACACTCTTTGTGTACTGCTGTTTCTTTACCAGAAGGGAGTGTTTTCAGGCTAGAATGGCCAGAAACTGCTCTAGTATATACGCGGTCTGAAAACTAGCGAAAGCTGCTTTCCGACGCGTAGGCTCCCGTAGACTGGTGACTTTCAGCTTTCTTGCTACTGCAACAGGCTGCATTCGAGAATGCTGGGTATAGCGGGAGAGAAAGCGAGCCAGAGCGGCAGCTACAAAACTCGTGTGGAGTCTAGCAGCGAAAAGTACGTATATACCTGTAACGTTGATCTCTCGAGAAATGACCATGGCTTCTGCACAACCGCCCAGCTTGACTAAACTAAAGCGCTTATTGCAGCTGTCTCTCTCCCGATCGATTGCTAGCTAGCTCTCTCCCCGCGTCCCCCCGTACGTACGTACGTAAGTACACTCTCGATGGTGTGCGTTAAAAAGAGGGCGTTTTGAAAGCTTTTGCGCAATCTCATTGGTCAGAGCCTTACCGCTGGATGTCATCATACAAACACGTTATACGATGGCATTCGCTTGTGGTCTACTGATTGCACACTCGTGGCTTCAGTTTTGATAGACCCCCTCGTGCCCTATCAAAACTGGCCACTCGTGTACAACCAGTAGACCACGCGCCGCCATCGTATAACCTATACATATTATACACATTATAATTAGTCTACTGATGAGCAGTGTGACTAGGTTTAAATCTTTCAGGTGCAGGCAGTGATTCCTGGCACATACTGGTACTAAGTGCTGCGATGGCACTGTATGTTGCCCTGACCACCCCTCTTGTCATCATACTAGCTGTCATGTACATTGTGCGGCAAAGAAAAGAGACCTCCTCCAAAGGTGAGTGAAGGATAGTGTTAAAATAGCGGGTCAGAAGGAAAAAGAAACCAACTTCTGTCAAGAACTCAGACATCGTGACTGGGAGGCCCGTGCACTACACACTTAGCTACAACTCCCTGACAAAACTTAGTCTTTTCCATTCCCCCTTAATACTTCGCCTAAGTCGGCGGCCACTGCAGGCTAAATTGTCCCTGACAAAAGGTCCTCTGTGTGAAAACACTCTACCTTGAAAGAATACGTATTAGTTAACGTATAGGCAGCGAGGCGGTGTATACAGGATGGAGGAGCCCAAGGCCGGTATATATAATTATCGTCAACAGCCCGAGGAGGATATCCTGTACGCCAGAGGTGCCTGACAACTGATTTGTAGTCCAACTAGCCAATCACAATGCTGTGGTATAATGAATGTACTAATGACTTTGGAAGCCAGACAATTTGCACTACACCTAGTGCTAGATGTTGTGATAAGGACTTCCTGTCCAATATTGGTCAGCACTCTCAGCCCACAGCTCAGAATACAGCGTATATTTCCTAGCGCTGGGTTGTTTGAAGTTGGACTACAATAAGTTACTCAGCATAACACTGTATAGCCTGCTTACAGCACCTTTGCACCTGCGTCTAACACTCTCCCACGTTACTGAGTTATTATTCTCCACCATCAAACCAGTGCTCTCCAGAAAATATTTTTACATCAGGTGTTAATGAATTTGCAGATGGACTTTTACTAGTCCAAGGGCTCTTGCAGATTCGTGCAATTTTGACACCCAGTATATAGCTAGGCTAGCGGCCTAGATCGAGTGAAATAATTTTGGTTCAGCTACATATAAGTTAGGTGCCGATTCGAGGAAACTACGTGGATTTAGAAAGCAGGCCCTTGGGCTGTAGCTGTCCTAGGTCAGTCAGCGGAATTATTCCTCTGATTGACCAATCAACTCACGAGAGCCTTGCTCTAACTTGTGTTGTTTTAGTTGCACAGAAGAGACAAGTGGAAGATGCTAAGAACCAGACTAAGGGCAGGGAGGAGGAAGAAGGAGATTACATTCACATGGCATCCATTTCTCTTCACCAACATTGATAATATTACTCAATACGGTGTTTTATATTATTGTAATACGTGGTTAATGCAATGGTGCAGTATAATAAACCCTGGAATACATGGAGGACATTATGTGCATAATGTTGTACATGAAACATTGTTACTGGTACGGGTTGTGTTGGCAGGAATTGTAATGGGTTCAAATGACATCATTTCCCAAACAACTAGCTGAGTTGTAGTGGATTCTCTAACACTGGATCATCATTTATTAATATCCACTTGAAACTGTCACTTCACCCTCTCTGCCTCCCTTCTCAACTCTTTTCCCTCTGCTAAACTTATTCTCTTTTCTCTCTCTTGTTCCTTTTCAACTTTATCTTCTTCACTCTTGCCCTCTCTCTCAAAAAGGAATTTGGCGCTTATGTCAAGCCACGCTGAAATATGTGCTAATTGTCTTGACATCAATTTCGAAGAGCCAGAACAGTAATTATGCTGTTCGAGCGCAGTGGCCGCCGCCGCCCGCATTACAGCTTTGCTCAGGTGAGTGGTGTGAACATCATTAGAATCGGATTGTAAGCTGAGATGGTCTTGCGGAACGTCGTAATGCGATCGCGGTATTGTTCCTGCCGGGATGCGTGGACAGGTTTTTTCAAGGGCGGAGTGGTGGGTAAGTCGAGTTTCTTCTCTAAGAGCTTGTTCGGTTTCGTTTACGTTGTGTCGAAACTTAGCGTACAAGACCGCGGCTTTTACTAGTCCTGCTGCTATAGCGAGAGAAAGGCCAAGTAAAACTCCAAGCAGAGGAACCAGGATTACGCCGAATGTCAAGGCTGTGTTGACTGAATATCTTCCGACATCTTTTAGTGCGTCGACCTGCGAGCTGCTCGGGGTTCCGTAAGCGCCCAGGTGACAAAATGCTCGCAGTTGTTTGTTAACAACTCCCATCGCCTCTCTCCGAGCCGTCTCTTCACTCGATCAAATGCTTCTTCGGCCGTGTACAGCGTCTCGGGAGGGTGTCTAAATTTCAACACCGAAACACTAGGATACTTCCATGACGTGGGTTGTATTTCACGCACTTCTTCAATGACTTCGCCTATGATCGGCGGCCACTGCAGGCTAAATTGTGGTCCAGTGTAGTTTAGAACCAGCACCCGAGTATCGCTCAGGACTCGTACGACGAGAAGGTGGTGGTCCAGTATCCAGTAGTTTATTCGGATGTGATCTCCCGGTTTCAGCTCCGAGGCGCTGTTGATCGGCATTACGTCGTACTGCCGGTTGTTCGTATCGATAACCTCTGCAGCAAGTAGTCCACTATTGATGAAGTCCTTCCACCCCATGGTGAGTTTTTTTTGTTGTTGTGAGGATAAAAAGCAAACCTCCTTATATACTCCAGCGGACACTCGAAGATTGTCTATAATAGCTATATGTGCAGGGTGACATCGACTGCAGTGGGGCTATATACCTAATTACACTGACGGGGATTCTTCCATCAAGCGCTGCAGCTACGTAGCAACGTAGTTAATTAGAGAAGCTATTTTGGATTACTAAACTTAGCGGATTCAATGGATCCGTTGAAGATGGGATTCGTTCCGTCAGCATTATTTTGTTTTACTGTATAGCTTGACTGGGAGTCCAACATAGTTTACACATGCAAGCCCAGACGGATAGTTCCGTATTTGCTTCCTTCCGCATTTTTAAGAGAACAGGGAAGTATCGAGTCGTCTCTGGAACGTGTATATAGCTATGTATATACGGCAGTACGACGTGTATAGCTACGTGTATATAGCTATATACTTATATACAAAAAGGCTGACATACATGAAGAAAGAAGTACAAGAAATGAGTGGTCCGGATCTATTGTAATTCCTTATGTTAGGGGTCTGTCGGAGGCGATACAACGTCTTCTCTACCCTCTGAGAATTCGGGTTGTATACAGGCCAGCTTCTACCCTCCGTAAACAACTGGTCAGAGTCAAAGACCCAGTTCCTCCTCTAAAACAAGCCAACATTGTCTACTGCATTCCTTGCAAGACCTGCTCTAAGGTCTACGTTGGCCAGACAAGCCGCCTGTTGGAAACGCGTCTCAGCGAGCACAAGGCAGCAGTGAAACATGCGAAGACTGATGTGTCTGCTGTGGCTGAGCATGTATGGAAATTGGGTCATCAAGTAGACTTCCAATCTACGTCAATCCTTGACCATGAGAACAACCAGTTTCGAAGGTGTGCCCTGGAGTCGTGGCACATACAGAGACATCCCAGCTTCAACAGGGAAGGGGGGACCCTTCCACCTGTATATCGCTGTTTGCACTGAAGAGTGTTTCTTTCCTTTTCTATCCTTCATCTTTCGCTCCCCCACTTTTATTTGTTTTTTGTGTACTTTATTTTATTTCTTTTAATTTATATATTACGAATTAATGTTTTGACCTTTGCAAACCTAGCTACCTTGCTATTTCATTTTCATTCTTGCCTCTTGTTTCCTCTCTTAGTTACATTGGAATTTAATTTTCATTCCTCTGTCTCTCATGCCTTAAAAACTCAGCCATTGCCTATTTTTTGTACTTTTTGCCACTGATGAGGACTGCAGAGCAGTCGAAACGTTTGGCCAAAAAAGTTTTCTGACTAGTGTTAGTAGATAGAGAATGCAATATCCTAGTCAACCAAGTATACTTACAATTATATACTTATAGCTAAGCTATGTATAATATACGCGGCAAAATTGCAACAAAGTCGGACGACATGACGTGCGCGTCCGGCGACGTTGCGTCCGGCGACGTTGCCCCCGGATATGCTACGTGTATATGTAGCTGGTAGCGGAATTTACGCGTTTCGCGATTTTGCGCATGCGCAAATTCTGCCCCACTTTTCCGAACTGCGGTGGTCCTGTGTGACAAGTGGATGATAGAGTTGTTAGAACCATGCACAAAGCAGTGTGTTGTTAGTGTTTCATGCACGATCCATGAGCGAGGAAATTAGATTTACTGTTGATGAAAATAGAGATTGCACGGCCATCTCATGAGCAAATGGTATAGATCTAGCTATAGGTTACCTCTGTCCGTATAATATATAACGATATTATTGTGAAATACTAGCATACACAGCACAAGTAAGTTGCTTCAACCTCCGCTCTTCACTGGAGAGTCCTACTCTACGCATACGCAGTGGTGGTCATAGAAAGGCGTGCCTCTTAGTATACGCGTGTGTGTGTACGTGCATTCTTTCACCTTGTGTAAGGAGTGAGAGTATGAGTAGTGAGGAAGGAGTGATAGTAGTAGTTGCAGCTGAAGGCAACGATCAGCTGGCTACTGAGCCCGCGAGAGATAAACACGGAACCTCGACGAAAAATGAAGACCCACCCGAGGAACTACCGGCCACCGAGGAAGCGGAGACGGGTGGAGAGGACGGTGAAACAGTCTCCGATGAGAAAAATGCCGTCACTGGCACTGAACAAGTGACGGGCGATGAGATAGTACAAAATGAAGCTGAAAATGCAGGGGGAACTGAAGGATTACTGGTTGAAAGTGGGGAGGTCGAGGTCTCCGTGGAAAATGCGATAGATTGCACGCCAGAAATCGAGCGGGAGGGGCTAGAAGCGCGCCGTGCAAGCGACGTCGAGGCCGGAGACGACCCGAAATCGGACCATGCTGCCGCCTCCGCGACGACTGCGCCCGTCTCGTCCATCACGTTTCACGACCTCGGCTACGAGGTGACGCAGAAAAAGTTCTTCAAACGACTGCCCAACAAGATCATCCTCGACTCTGTGAGGTCAGCATACTAGCTGGACGCCGCTACAGTTATCGGTGACTCTAGCATGGAGAGAGACACCTAAACGGCTGCATTACAGTTGGTTGCATTATATAACTCGTCAATCTACACATTATTAATCACGCTACTGAACAACCAAAACAGGCCCTTCCCTAGGCTCCATAGTTGCAGAATCGAGAAACCATAGTGTTGGAGCTG